TGATTTAATTTAGGGTGGTGAGGCCCTGGCACAGGCTGCCCAGAGAAGCTGTGGCTGCCTCAACTCAAGGTCAGGTTGGATGGGCCATGGGCATCCTAAGCTGGTGGGTGGCAACCCTGCTCAATGATCTTTAAGGTCCTTTTCAAACTAAACTGGGAGTGATCCTGGAAAGATAGGGTGGTACACAAGAAACATGCAGCCATGGAAGAGCTTGTGCCAACCTGCATCCTTCCACCCTGATGTGAGGAAGATGTAAAGGTTTCACTGCTCCTGCTGGCCAGATCAGACCAACATGGAAATCAGCTCCCCACCACACAGCACACCTGTGTGATGAACAGGGCTTCCTCCACATTTGCCAACGTTTCTACCCAACCCTGCTGTTGCTGCTGAGCTGTCATCTCTGCTCTCTACCTGGCACAGAGCAACAAGCAAGGGGACAGCAAGCAACACCTCAAGAAGTTTTCCAAGAGTACTGAGAGGAGTACAATGAGGTCAGCTTCTCCCATGAAACGATCCAAACCGTACAGGGTAGCACAGGAGGAGAAATTCTCTCAGAAGACCAGCTGGGTTGATTCTGGTTACATTCCAGTCAATCATTTTGGCCCCCAGGTAAGGCACAGTTCCTGTGTGCAGGGGCAGGAGTGCCACAGGTCAAGAGATAAGCCCTGGGGCAGCACATCACCAGGCTGGGAAAGGAGGGCTGAGAGAGAAAGAATTACACTCTTAGGGACAGGCACTAAGAGTGGAAGAAAAAGTTTTGTCTGTTTTTTTTTTCTTTTTTATTTTTCTCTAAAGAATAACAGGGATGCTGTTTTCTACCACATTACCCTCACACCACGGTGATGGCAACCAAGTTGCCCAAATCTGGGGACAGTCAGAGGACAAGGCATGAGGCTAAATTCTCATCTTCATGCTGAACATCTCCTGCTCAATTTGTACCTCTTGCTTGCTCTCTTTAGGTTGCCTTTAGGAAAATCACTTGATTTCTATACCACTGCTGCAGAGGAGGAGGATGGGATTTGTAAGCTCCTCTGGGCAAGGAGAGAAAGCCACCTATGTAAAGGAATCAACATAATGAGACCTCCTAATCCCAGACCTCACAGAAGTTTTCCATCCCAAAGTGCTAAACAACATAAAATAACATGCATAACTTAAAAGTCCTACAGCTTTATTAATTTTCCTGTTCTTCAATTGTAAGGCACACTCTCATAGTAACAGCTAAATCAGCAGTGTTCCTAACCACGGCTGGTATTGCAAAAAATGCCCCAAGATAAAGTTTTCTTAGCACACCCAGATCTCTCATCCATGCTCTGAAGTCTTAGGTCTAACACTATTCACTTAGTCTAACACTCAGCATTTCCTCTCCTCTTCCTTGCCATTCATCCTGCTCCACTGACTGCACCTCATGCCTGACTAATTACATTTACCCTAACAACGGCATCAAAGCAGGGCCCTGATGGTGATTTGTGATGACCTCTGAGTGATGTGGAGGAGTGAATGCATGGAGAGGACCTTCTCCACGTGGCACAATGATCCTTCATTGTTGTATACCATGCTCCTAATACATAAACACATTCCTCCCCAGGCCCGTATTGATAAAGAGATCTCACTTTCCTCTGTGCTATGTAGCATTCACTTGGGCTGCTATAATTAAGGATCTTTGATAAGATCTGCTTATATAACCATGGTGATTAGTGAAGTATAGAAATGGAAGCAGATTAAATGAGATTACCAACTACAGCTGTATTACAGTGTACATAAGTTGCTTTCTCTAATTAATTTTTGATGCTGCATCTTAAATGGATTCTCTTTCCTAATGTTTGTGCCTTGTTCTCAGACGTGGCAAGTAGAGAGCTAGTAAAACTGTTCAAAGGCCTTGCTGTCTCTCAGCTAATTATCTCTACACACCTATTGTTAACAAAATCCTTCTAACTGGAGAAGCCAGGTGTGTACTGGCCTAGAGCTCCAGTTATCTCTTTAATACATAGTTCTGGGCTTGAGTAAAAAGTGCATGCCATTTTCTATTGAATGCATAATGTATACTATTGTTCTCTTCTGTTCTCTTCTGTTCTGTTCTGTTCTCTTCTGTTTCACAACCACGCCTTTTCACAACCACTCCTTCTCCTTTCCTCCTTATTCTGCCTCTCATAAAACTGTTTCCCTACCTCCTTTTTCTCTTCTTCTCTTTTCTCATCTCCCCAGCCCTGAAAACCTGGCAACCAAGTAGGTGTGTCACCATCTTCTCCTCATCAGGTAACTGTTATCTAGTATGGTGCTGAGTTTAAGGCAAACCCGAGCAATGGAAGGTTTGTGGCAGCATTTAACCATGTAGATCTAAACGAGTTGGGGGTGGTGGTGTAATCCACTCTAAGTCACTAGCCTGTGGAGAGTATGCTCATACAATCAGTTGTAATGTTGCTAACATCTCTAATGTAGATGCAATTCTGACTCTTTGACACTGGATTAATTACAAGCCCATTGGCACCTCATGAAGTCACAAAAAAAAAAAAAGGGCACCTGGTTTCATTTCTTGATTCACGCATAGATACCTGCAGATGGAAGCAATACATGAAATGCAGAGCATAGAAATACCTTTCCATACATGGAGGGTACCATGTAGGTGCAGACCTACTCTCAGGTGTGTTTCAGTGCTGGTGCTGTTTCAGGCACTGGCACATATACAGCCAGGATGAGCACAAGGGGGGAGCAGGATGCAGGAAGAGGCAGTGGGTTCCAAACTTCAAGTGTGGATGGGGTCCACTGTCACCAGTGTAAGGGGCTCCTGAGGTATGGAAGACTCCTATGGAAACAAAGAGCAATGTAGGAGTGGGTTTATTTTTCAGTAGAAAAGTGATTACTATTTTACAAGTCTGAAAAAAGACAATGATTATTCAAGTACCAGCAACCCATCAAAACACTACCAGTACAGTAACACGTGCGCCACAGAACTTTGCATTTTTCTTTAAACTTTTACAGTTAATGAGTAATTTTAATTGACACTGGATTACTGGATTACTGGATTACTGGATAATGTACTCCTGCTGAAGACTTTGTAAGATCTTTGCTTGTCATGTTCAAAGGCACATTTCCAATATGGGAGCAGCTGTTTTGTTTTCTAATAGCACCTCCAGGTCTGTTGTCTGAGAAGCATACATCTCAGTAGCAGCAAGCTTCACAGGACTTATGGACTGTCTAAGTTAAAGCAGTGCTCTGGAGGACAGTTTCTGCTGTCAGTGATATGCTGTGCTACACAAGATATCAAAAATGTCAATCTGTGAACAAGGTAAAGAGTCAGAACCCACTATACTTCCAACAGTAAAAACACCAGAGAAAACTAAATTAGTTCCCCAGAAAGAAACATGCATTTCAACACATCACCTGAAAGCTTTAATGCATTAAAGCAAAACAATCAAACAAACAGTTTTGCTCTGCTTATCATGTAAAGTGTATACTCTGGGAACACGTCACAAGCTGCTTTTAGTGCTGAATCCCAACCACCAGCAACTTCAGCTTTGTTGGAGCTCACTGTGGGCTGCTGTAGTTGCAGTTCCCCTGACAACTGAGGCTAGGTCAGGCCTCATAGCAGGTCCTCACCAGGGGACTGGGCTGATCTAGCAGCACACTATTACTGAAAGTGCTTGTCCCACTCCTTCATCTGCAAGTACAGCTGCTGAAATCCTGATCTTCCCTTCTGTTTGGCACTTATTTCACTACTCAGTGAGCCAGCTCAGCTTGCTACATGAGCAGGAAATCACTCTACTATCTGCAAGTTTTTTTTTTTTACTTGTTTCCTAAGTTTATATACGGTAGGAGGCAGGTGTGCAGTGAGCAAATAACAGTTGCAAAAAAAAAAGAGCATCCTCTAATAAACAAACTTTTGGGGCTCATAGGTCGCAATGCAAAGCTAAGCAGCAGTATCTGTTTCCGGAAATAAGATCTTCTCAGATTTTGCCTGTGATTTCTGCTTCTAGTATCTGGATCCTAAGCATGAAAAGTGACTGAACTGCCTTCATTCTGTTAACTACTATCCAAGAAATGAATTGTTGCTGGAATTGCTGTTCCTTTTTTAAGGCAGCTGCATTTTAAACATCTTCTGGAGTCAGGAAGGGGTCAGGGCATGATGTAGCAAGCACTCATGTTTGTGAACAGTCCTACTGGCTACAATGACACTATGAACTTTATATGAAATAAAGGGTATTTGTAAATGCTTCAGAAAAATATGACATACATTTTACTTGCAGCAAACTGACTGCTCAGCCTGTTTTTTGTACCACAATTATTCTTCCTTTATAAGGAGGAGTATTTCTAAGTACATTTGTAAGGCCTAAGAGAAACTATTGTTATACCATCAGTGTAAAATACTGTCAAACCACAAACAGCCATTGTGTTGCCCATCTACCAAAACCAACATCAGTGTAACGTCACTGTGGCATAAAATGAAAAGTGATTAGAAGGAAGAAGATAAAAAATGAGCAAGTTTTGCTTCCCTGCAGTGACTTTCCAGAACGCAGTGAACAAGAGGGTGGATGCAAAGTGTGTGATGGCCAACATGACCCTCCTGACCTAAGCCAGGCTGGCTTTTGAGTGCACGGAGCAGATTCTACATTGCCACACAAGCCAGAGACCCACACTGATGAGCAGCACCACATCCCTGGAGGCCTCAAAGCCAGGCTGGATGAAACCTTGGGCAGCATGATCCACTGAGTGGCAGCCCTCTCCACAGTAGAGAGGTTGAAATTAGATGGTCTTTAGATCCTTGCTAATATAAGTCATTCTACGTCAGTCCCCCATCCGCAAACCCCTACACCTGGCGCCCACTCTCCCACCCCGCTTCAGCTCCCAGCACCACACTGCACCGCGCATGCGCGGCAACGACCCCGCGTGGCGCTAGCGCCAGCCGCGCAGCCGAAGGGGTTGGGGGAGAGGGCCCGCGCGGCTACACCAATCAGGAGGTAATCTCTTCGCGCGCATGCGCAGGGGGTGGTGGAGGCGGTGGCCCCCATCCCGCCTTTGCAGGGGCAGACGAGAAGCGTTTCCGGCGCCGCGGCTGTGACGTGTGCGGTCGGCGCCGGGCTGTCCGGCGGGCGGGCGGTGGGAGATGGCGGAGTATCTGGCCTCCATCTTCGGAACAGAGAAGGACAAGTGAGTGCCCCATCCCTCTTCTCGCGCCGCTCCCGCGCTTCGCGGGTGGGGGCTGGAGTGAGGCCGGCGGCGGGATCTGCTTTGCACCCGCCGTGCCCGGAGCTTTCCGTCGCTGCTTCCCTTCAGGGGCTGCGGCGTCCCGTTTCCCCCTTCCCCCCCCCCCCCCGCGCAGCCTGGGCCGCGCGCTGGAACGCGGCGCCCGTGGAGGGAAGCGAAGGGGAAATAGCGGCCGCGCTCCCTCCTCTCACCCTTTCCCCCCCCCCCCCCCTCCGCGCTCCCCCCTCGGCGCGGTGTCCTCCCCTCCCCCACCTCCGGGCTGGAGCGCGCGTGCGCGCGCCGCCTCCGAGAAAAGAGGGGGAGAGCGCGCCCCCGTGTGCGCGCGCCGGCCCCGCCCCGTGTCCGGGCTGGGCCCGCTCCGCTCTCTCCGGGGAGCGCCGCCGCCATGCGGGCGTGCCCGCGCCTCGTGGCGCGCCTCCGGCGCTCCGGCCCTCTTCCTCTTCCCCGCGGCGGCTGCGCCGTACGGCCGGGCCTCGCTTTCTCCTTTTGTTCAACACTCGGCACCCGCCGCACGGGGCGGCTGTGCTTCTCTGGAGCTGTGTGCTAACCCTACCGTCTCTCCTGGCGTAAGCACTGCGATCTCGCAGGGAGTCCAGTCCCCGTGTTCGCACTGTTTGTCTGAGCGGCGAGTGGAACGCTCTGCAAAGTGTTAAAAGTTTGAAGGATTACTGCACGCTGTAGAGTTACGAACATGAGAATAATAATTTTTTTTTCTTCCAGGAGAATTTTTATTTCCCTTTATGCACATCTAGCCCATAATAGCTTTTATGCCTTCATAACTTTGCTTGCAGTTTTCCCGGTTGAGTTAACTGAGCTCTTTGTGCCGCCTTTTCCACCATTCTGCATCCACGAGATTTCTACTGGCATACCCAAACCAGCTGTTGCTGGGTGGTAGTTGGAGCAAGAGAAGATATAATGAGCAGCAAACATAAATAAAGCTTGCTTTACAAAGAACTAGATTCTAAAGATGGCTTGGCGAGGAAATATGCACGCGCAAGACAAATCCTTCCTTTGTGTACACTTCTTTCCCTTATCTGAATTATTTCAGATAGTATCTTGGTAGTGCTTTTAGCTCCCGTTGGAGTGTAACCTTAAACAGGTGGGTTTTTAAAACATTGCATAGGTGCAGCTGTATCAGTTTTAAAGCACATTATATTGCCTAGAGGAAGGGGTTGCATGGAGGACATAACTCTATAGTTTGTATTGTAACTTTTCAGACAGCTCTTCACCTTACTTCCTATCCCTCCATACCACAAAATTGACAGAAAGACAAATGAAGGGAGGGATTAGAAGGGTAGAACAGCAATAATCTCTCATTTACTTTTCCACTTAAAAATAAAGGCATTTGGGGCACGTTTTATAGGAACTGTATACTAACTTCTTTCTATTCCAGTATGTGACTACTTTGGGTTTTATACTTGCAGAGTCAACTGTTCGTTTTATTTCAAAATCGGAGCTTGCCGTCATGGAGACAGATGTTCTCGGTTGCACAACAAACCAACATTTAGCCAGGTTTGTTTTCCTTTTGCTTTTTGTTTGTTTTGAATTTGTAGAAGTATATTCTTTAAAACGTAGATCCTCAGATAAAAGTGAATAATTACAGAGCTCCAGATTAAGTAGTTCATTTTTGGCCCCAGTTTATATGGGATTTTGCTTTTTTGGGGGTATTCCATTTACTTCTCCCAGCATTTCTAATCATCTCCTGTCACCCTTAATGGCTGCAGGAAGCGATGCTGTTGTAAGCTTGCCTGTAGTAGAGACCAACCAGTGCTAACTTTCAGGTGAGTGTGCCTTCTCAGTGATGTTAGGCACTTAAACCTTCCCAGATTTTTTTATTATCACAACTAATAGCAGCTTGTTCCACCTAGCCAAAAGGTGTGAACTTAAGTCTTTGCATATAAGAGAAAGAACAACAACAACAAAAGCAAATAAGTGACTTTCCTGTCACTGTTTTTGCTCTCTGACCCAGGCTCTTAAGTTTCAAGTGTAACTTACTCGCTTCTTTTGAACGTGAACAAATTATTTCTTGAAAGCAACTTGCCTGGTTGCCGAGGGCGTATACATCAGTTAACTTGACAGATTACTTAGATTTTGGCTATCTAAACATTAGGGACAAGATGAGCGACAGCACGTCTGCTTAAAGAACTGGTGCAGAGGGTGATAGGGTTGTTTTTGTTATTATGAGCTCTACGGTTTTCGGAAAACTACTTTTACCTGGAGAATTATATGCTTTTCCTTTTTCTATCACCGCTGATTGTCAAGGTGTGCAGGTAAATAGATTTCTTTGGGAGAGCTGTGTATGATGTGCTCGTGGAAACTGCTGTTTTAGGAGCAGTTTTATCTGCAGAGGTGAAATTTACGTAGCAGTGGAGTCCTCTGGGCTGGTGTTGATTTAAGAGGGAGTTCAGAAGACAGGTAACAACCACAGGGCTGGAGGTTAGAAGTGGTGCTCCTGAAATTAAACCTATTAAATACAAGTGGTCCGTGGGTGTGCTATGCAGGAGTGGTTTGAGGGATAGAAACTGTCAGGGTTGTGAGCGCTACTGCTGGTACTTCATCGACAGAGGGAGTTCTTCCATCTAAGGGAACTTAATAATTCTTAGCATTGATACTGCTTATCAAACAGTACTGTCCATTTTTCTGACTGTTACTGATATACATGGACAGCATACTGAAATCATTAGGTAATGTAGAGGCTTGAGTTTAGGTTCTTGGCTACTAGAAGATAATTTGAAACTAGGCAACTTCCACAGTGGTTGTTATAATCTTAAAACCATATGTGTATTTTTAAGAGAGCGTTTATATGCAGCCCTTTGGCTGCAGCCTTCAGTTTTGCTGCCGAAGCTGCAGTTAGTACTGCTGGCTGAAGTGGGTCAGCAGGGCATGCTGGAATCATCTGGCGACATCTGGGAGTGCTGCTCTTGGCTGACACACTGTATTGGAACATCTGCAGCGTCTGGGATTCCTTACAGAAATCTTTATTTGTGTGCAGATTGGTAATCAGCTGTGATAGAAAATAGAGGAAGAAATATGCTATTAATGGGAAGCTGCTGCCTCAGTGTTTCTATCTTCCCCTGGTGCGGCCCGTATTGAAGGGCTGTGTAAGGAAAGGTTATGCAATCCAAAGCGATCAAATTACCACCAATTAGCAGAAACACTGTAACTGTGTTTCAGGCTCTCTCCAATTGTAGAGTAAAGCAGTTATTTTAAACCTGGGCCACGGAAGCACAAAGCTTTGGTTGATAAGACCGTACCTGTTATAAAACAAGTGTGTGATTTAAAGGTGATGCTACAGATTCTGTAATGTTAAGTGGTCAGCATATGTAGGTATGACATTGCTGGTCCTGTGACTTTTTTTTTCACGATGTAACTAATGATAATGTATAAGCTAGGATAATTTGGGGACTGCGATTTATACTAACGTTGAGCTTGTACCTTAAGTAAGTAATCACGTTTCAGTTTTTGAGCTGCTTACAGTGATATGGACATTTGGATTTTTTTGATTTTTTTTTTTTGATTTTTTTTTTTTTTTTGTAATATTAGTTTACTAACTTAAACATGGTTTGTTTTTTCAGACAACTTGATTTTAAGAAGAACGGTACAAATGTAAGGTTTCAAGTCTGCCTGGGCTAATTCTTCAAGTAAAAAGCAGAAGGGCTAAAAGGATATTGTCCTTATTTGAAGGATCGGAAACATGCGAACCTATGATGCTATTATATTATTTAAACAGAAATTCCACCAAGAAATTCCCGATACACAAAACGAGATGCAGCTCATGCCTAAAAACCTTATGGTGTGGTGTAACGTTCTAGGCTCTGTGGCATTATGTATTGTATGCTGTGCACATAACACTTACTTTTTTTCCTAGACTCACAGTAATGAATCTGATCTTCAAAATAAGATGAAGCTAGGTGTATCCGTCCTATCACGTAGTTTGGTGTTTCAGGTTACTGTGCCTCACAACTCCCATTTTGAGGATAGCTGTTGAGACAAACGCAGCTCTTTCTTGGTGGTTAATTACAACTGTTTTCATAATATGATGGTCTGGATGCAATTGGAAGATTTTCTGCAAATGCGAAAAGGAAGTCTTAAGAACAAGCTATTACTTTTAGATGTTTGCAAACAAGTTGTCTCTTTGCAATTGTCTATTATATGCACAGCAGCCAGTAGAATTCCCCTTTTTATTTTTTTTCCCCGCAGACCATCTTGATTCAAAACATCTATCGTAACCCCCAAAACAGTGCACAGACGGCTGACGGCTCACACTGTAAGTCCCACAGTTGGAGAAATTTTTTTAAAGAATGGTGTTAAAGAGCCCACTCCTAATTATGAGAAAATCATGTTGGCTTCTGAGCTGCTGACATAAAGCTGTTGCAAACAGGACAAGTGATGGAACTCTTCTTGCGCATATATCAAGAACTTGTCAAATGTGTGCAATTCAGAATGCAGGACGTGATTTCATGAATTGGACTTGATGCAAATTGGATTGCTTAGTAACGCTGCATTCTTTTTAAAGGGTTAAAGTGCAGGCATTTATCAAATTCTTGATCCAACAACAACAAAAAAATAGGTCTATTTGTGATGTACGGTAAGTTTCCCAGACTGTGGTTCTTCTTTCGTCTTAACTTTTATAGGAAGATGGAGATCTCATGTCATGCTCCGATATTGTATTATCTCTGTTCCTGGGGCTTTGTTAGTAAGAATCCATTCAGGAAGACCAAATTCAAGCGAGTATGATTGTGGCCATAGTTTTGAATGCTGCTTTTGGATACCGTTTATTACGTGTCTGCATGAAGTCATGCAAAACCCCTCCACAGGTTAATATTGGTTAATAAAATAAAAGTAAAATACAATAGTGGAGTATCATGAGATCTCTTGTTTTACAGTGTTAGGATTATTCAGAAAGGTCACCAGCTAAGAGAAAGTTCTCCTTCTTGGGAGAAAATAACCACCTCTCTTTCAGCACAGACTCGGCTAGAGCGACCCTAAAGGAAACCAGTTTCTTGTTAAAATTATTTTCTATAATATAAAGTTGTTGCGTTTTGTATTTCAGACCATTGCCCTCTTGAACATTTACCGTAACCCTCAAAACTCTTCCCAGTCTGCTGACGGTTTGCGCTGTAAGTTCATACAAGTTCCTTCACTGGTTCCCTGGGCTTGATTGTCAGAGCTCAGTGTCGACTTAAGCTGGTCTACCATATTAGTTTAACAGATCAAACTGACCACGTTTAATGAAATGTGCCCCCAAAAATACCCGAAACTTTTTGTCCCGCTCACCTTCTTCCCTACTCTGAAAACTATGAGGGGAATCTGAATACCATCTATTAATTAAGTTGGAATTGTACTTTCCCTGTAAAAGCAGTCTTGATGCACTGCCTTCATCCGCCCCTCCTTTCTCCTTGCCAGCTGCTTGCTTCCAAGCAGTGCTTTTCTGTATGTCTTATGGTATCCATAAGATTCCACCTAAAAGAGCAGGATAATGACACGTTGACTTCATCCAGAGTAAATTTCCTGCTGTCATTGTTAAGGGAAGTTGAATTTGAAACTCTTCAGACTTCAAGCAGAAATTTGTTCTAGGTTAATGATGTGGCTTCCATTTGTAGTCTGCTTTGGAAGAATGCACTGATAATAGCTTCCCTTTTGGCAGCTGTCCTTTTGGATAGGTGCATGGTTAAAATTCCTTCCATGCTTTGAAAATTGAAATTCCAAAACCAAGTTGCATATTCATGTAGGAAAATAAATCTTTAAAAGTACTTTTGAGGAGGGGCAGCCATTTGTGCATGGTCACAAATTAACTTGATGACTCCTCATGAGGTAGGAATGGACAAAAGAGGAAAACATCCACTCTAAGACTGGTAGAAATTAAATGACCAAGATTGTTGATCTGCAATTACTGACCTGTCATTGTGACTGAAACATCATATTAGAATAAGATTAAATTTAAAAACTAGAATCAAAAAGGATCGATATTATTTTCTAACTAATATTTCTTGTTGAAGTGAATATGACTGTGTGGTAATAAAGCTTTGTTTGGCTATTCCTTTTTTGGGCTGTCGGATTACAGACTAGTTCAGATTAGTTACCAGCATTTGTGAAATCAATCACTACCTTAAAAGTCAACACTGTGTCGTCTGCTTTAGAAGTAATAATGGCCCAGTTAAGCAACTCGAGCTTGTTTTATGTGAAGCGATCAAGCTAGATGCATAATGAGCTGTGTCAGTTTGTCTAGATGCAAAACACTTCTATTGGTTTGTAGGCCTCGCTGCAGATGCTTTGTAGTGAATGCTGTTTTGATAAAACAAAAACGTTCAGTTGGGTTTTTCCACTGTCCCTAAATTCTCAATGCGCTGGTAACTAATTTGCACGGTTACAGCAGTTTGGTCTGTGGAGCTATTTAGATTGTACAGCTGCGAGAGTCTTGACTTGAACAGACCCTCTAGTCTTCCAAAAACTGGTATCCAACTTCAGTTTGCCTTGACGAGTGGGTAGTCATTTAGCAGAGCCTGCCTGTACCTTGTGCGGTAGAGCTGGAGCTCTGTTACCAGTACGTTTGTTGAAACTCCCAGCTCCCCGTTTTTTCCATATTTTTGTCCCAACTTAAGTACTGCATGTATTTTAAATGGGTAACTTGGGTAGCTATTGAATGTGTTGTTTGTTGTTGCTTAACTGTCTTCCTTTCTATTGCCGTCGTAGAGGATTAACCTTAGTTTTGAACGATAATAGTTTTCCTGAGTATTTTAATTAGTAATGGGGCTTCTCAAGGTTCAGATACCGGTGGCCCTGGAACATGAATGTTTGTAAAGCCTGTGCATATGTATGCTTCCCACTTAGAAGGACCTTCACGTAGTCATTAACTAACTGTTGCTTGTGATCTCTTAATTTGACAGTGGAATCTCCTTAAAGTTTCTAGCACTCATCCATTTGGTTAAAATTAATTACTCCCTATGTGGCTCACGGAGCCCCCATCTGATATCTTTAAAAATAAATAAATCCTTAGGTATCTATAAGCTGTTATGAGTGGTGACTGCACCACCTTGGGAATATAGTGAAGTATTACCTGTCTAGAAGAACTGGTTGAACGTTTGGTATTTGCTTCATTTGCTGTGTCACTGTGGGAAAGTGGTGAGGAAGATGAAAGCTCTGAAAGCAAACATTTTTCAAATCAAGAAATGTGAACCTAAACTGCATGGCAAGCCTCCCTTAGCCTTCTTCAGGAGGCAGCTGGCTGGGAGAAAAATAATTGCAGTTCCAGAGAATGTGGCTGGTTACTGTTAGAGACTTTGAAGAAAGATGCTGTGTTCTTCCAGATGGTACTGTTAGCCAAAAATGGCCGAGCCCAAGGCATCTGTTTTTTCATAGCAGCCCAAGCTGAATAAACTTAGCCTTGTTGGCTCTGTTTCTTTCGCATTCTGTGAACTAAAACAGCAGTGTTTGTAATTTAAAGGCTAAAATATTTTTCTAGCCTGAAATGCAGGGTTCATTTTAAAACTGCTCCACTCACTTGATCATAATAAACCACTTAACTGCTGAAGAGCTAATCCATTAGGCTTTAATGTATACAGCTTAATATACCTTAAAATACCATAGAGTAGTGGAAATAAATTAAACTTATTTTTATATTCTTAATGCTCTGTAAATCAGCCAAACTTATGTTGCTTTTTTAATGGCAGCAGGCAAGCAGCGTTCATTTGTGAAGTGCAGCTTGGAGCATGTAAAACAGTTTAACTTATGTGGCTGGCTTATCTTGCACTAAAATATTTTTTCAGGGCTATAAAAAAAAAACTAAGTGATACTTTAAAAACAAAAAACAAACCCCAAGCAGTGCTTTCTGTTGCAAGGCATTGTAGTACCCTTCTTTGGGAGCACTTAAGCAGCACCATTTTAATAACTCCTCTGAGGAAATTGTTAAAAGAATTAAATAAAATTCTGAGCTGCGTTACTTGGTGAACTCTCACATTCTAATATCTATGTGCTGGAGATGGAGAGGTGGATTTGTTAAAAGGAAATTCTATATTTAGGGAGAGAAGTGATAAACTGCAATTGTACTTAGAAATATGCACCTGTGACAAAGCACTTGCCTTCTGTTTAGGTAACATTGTTGGTAGATAAAGGGTGGAATTGTGCATCAAACGTAAATCATACTTCAGAGCAATTCCGTTCCCTTTCCTCCCTTTAGATTTGTGGCATGCAAGTTTGGTTCTGATTTAAAATTGGTTCTGATTTGATCATGTCAATAGAATGCCTTGACGTATTATTTTGGACTTTAAATTGTTCGCATATACCGATTTTCTTTAATACTCCTGTTAGTTAGCTACATGATATTTGGTGTCCTTTATGCTCCAGGTGGCACCTCTAGGTTACGTTTTGTAGTATAAGCATGTATTTCTTTTGTGACGGGCTCTAATCGGTATGACTCTTGATTTTTGCAGGTGCTGTGAGCGATGTTGAGATGCAGGAGCATTATGATGAATTCTTTGAGGTATGCAGAAAAAGCGAATGTTCAAAATGCATTGAAGCGTTCTCAAATTTACAGAAGCAAATGACTTAAGTGGGTTTTGGTGAATATCACAAGTAAATGGGTTCAGAGAAGACCATTTGTTTCCTCAGGTGTTTGTTTAAACTTCAGACTTTCAGTGCTAAGTATTTGCTGGTGTAACTTCAGTTTAGCTTTACTGTATATAACAGGCTTTGTTTAAAAATCGTCAACCCATGCTGAGTGGCATTTGGATTCTGTAATCTCTTCTGTAAATTAAGAAAAACCCCAGCACCTTAATCATTTGTGTGCATATGCATCTAAGGAACACTATAGCTGCAAGGCTTATGTGTGGTGTTTTTAGTGCTTCTTATGTGTTGACTAAATACTGTATGCTTAATGTTTTCCTTAGCTTTTTATTTTATCCTGTTAGCACTGTGCTTAGAGGTGGACGCAGTACAGGCCAAGCAAGTACCAATTTTAAGATGGGAAATGTAAAGACTTCAAAGAGTGGTCTTCTTTTAATTGTTACTAATAGTTAAGTGCATCCGTTCTGCACTTTAACATGTCCCAACATGTTAATTTTCTTTATTTTTTTAAACCGGTTTGTGCTTAGGAGGTCTTCACAGAAATGGAAGAAAAATACGGTGAAGTTGAGGAGATGAATGTTTGTGATAACCTTGGAGATCATCTAGTTGGAAATGTATACGTAAAGGTAGGATAAAAAGAGAATTGTTAATTTAAATGAATAGACGTAGTATGACAGATTTGTAAGTTTAAAAGTCCTGTAGCTTCTGTGCAGGTTGCACTTTAGGATCCTAAATGCTCTCTGGCTTATCACTCTAAGTTAAAAAGAGTGGAAGTAGCAATGGAATTTGAAACAAATCTTTAGAAACAGTGAAAAGAGTTTCTGATAGTCAAAGTCTGTGTCAATTTATTAAGACACGTGCAACCTTTTTTGTCTGGTTAATAAACAGTCTCTGCTGAAGGTCTCTTAACTGACCAGTATGAATTCTGGATCTTTCTTCCTGTCATGCTGCATTCTAAGAACTTCACTAAGAGTAGAGGTTTATTTGCAGCAAGTGCTCATGTTCAACAGATGCACTTAGTTCCTAACTTCCCAGTTAAACAAAACATGCTGTAACCAACGGTACTAGTTGGTTTAAGGTCCAAACTGAAGGGCTTAGGTCTAGCTGTTAAAAGCTGTCGATACCTGCTTTCAGTCATGTGTACACAGTTACCCACTTGCAGAAATTTCATTGTGCATGCAAAGTGTCAGGAAGATGGTGAGCAGGAGCAGGTGAATATTTTTACTGTAATTTTCCTGAACTGGGAAATATTTGGGGGCCATATGTGTATGACTGCATGTATCTGTGTAGACCATAATAATTGGAAAGAAAAGTTGCTTCTGAAAATTTATGTTGGGACTGTGGGGAAAAAAAAATGCTTTTCATCTTCTTTTTGAAAGAGGATCTAAGTTTCTGTAAGTGAACAAGGGCTTCAGTTCTCATGCTGATTTCTCTTAAACGCTTGAAGAAGTTCTGTTACGTTTGGAGCATTAGTAGTACATGATGTACGCTGTGTTTAAGGTTGTAGTGAGAAGGCAGCGTTCCCATAACTTACATTATAAGCTGCAAAACTGAAAAGACCAAGAGAACATAGCTGTGAAAAAGTATCTGTTGTGATTAGCCCTGAATTCAAATCGGTGAAAAGTAGATTATTTATTTTTACCCTGATGAGACTGTCTGTCTTAGGAGCTCTGAAGTAGTTCGTAGTTACATTAGTAGTCCTAAGCCACAGATAACATAAACCTGTTTTGTCAGGAATCTTTGATCTACTTCTGTTGCTTCTCCACAGCATGAAAAAATATTTTTGCTTTTAGTTTCGCCGTGAAGAAGATGCAGAAAAGGCTGTGATTGACCTGAACAATCGCTGGTTTAATGGACAGCCTATTCATGCTGAGCTTTCACCTGTGACCGATTTCAGAGAGGCCTGTTGCCGTCAATACGAAATGGGGTAAAAAGCAACTTCCTGTTTGCCTATGGAAGTGTCTTTTGAAGTGTTTGCACAGACAAGATGGTTGCTGGGGTGTGGGTTTTATGTGTAATTCAGAGTAAAATGAAAAAGCACTTCAGGCAACGGTAATCTGGAGTATCTAGTCAGTTCTTGACTTTTACATCTTTTGGATTTTGATCTAGGAGCAAGTCAGTTTCAGTAAATGTTCTTTACTGTTTCTAGTATTAGAGGTGATGAACTTGTGAATGGCTAGAGGCCTAGTAAGGGCTTAGGGCAAACAGATCCACTTTAGAGCTGAGAACTGTAACTCTGGATTTTCTTTTCAGAGAGTGTACACGAGGAGGTTTCTGCAACTTCATGCATTTGAAGCCCATTTCTCGAGAGTTAAGACGTGAGTTGTACGGGCGTCGTCGTAAAAAGTGAGTTTGCTTTTAAACAACTAAAACAGATACATTACGCATCAGTTGTGTAATGTTCAGAAGACAAACCTTTTAGACTTCAGTCTTCTCTTGCTTTTTCTGACGTGCACCTGTGAAAGGCATTGAGTACAGCTAGAAAGCAGACAGCTTAGAACCAAAGAGTGTGTTTTTCATAAAAACAACCAGAAGTATGATTCTGTCAAGGTCTGTGGGTCATTTCAGGACCTGATGAGTATTTACTATTTCTCTTTAGTTTGATTTAACGGTTAATGGCTAGCTTTTGTAGCCAGTATTTGTTCCTTACCAACGGGAGGTTAATACTAGAGTATATATTTATTAAGATACTTTGTGGAAAAGCTTACACCACTGCTGTTAATGCAGCATGTTTTTGTGGATGGTCCACTTTGTGCTGGATTGAATCCCTTTGGTTTTAGGAACTTCTTATTTAGGTTAAGCATGTTTAATTGTTGGATTTGCTTTTGTATGGAGTGGTTTTATATGGCTCTTTCAATCACAGAGGGAGCCTGGGAATATGAAAATACTTTTCCTGTAAGTGTCTCTAATTGGCAGCATCTTAAAATCTGTGAGGATAAATTTAACTTTCAAAATGTGAATTAACATGTTAACTTTCTTACAGTGTTCAAATGTCAGTGTAATTTCTTGGGGCGTTCAAACAATTTGTGAAAAAAGATTAAATATGCTCATCTTAGCCTTTTGGTTACACCCAAGAATCTGAATCTTTCTGACTTAGGCACCAGTAAGTCATCTTTTATTGCAGTAAAGATCAGACTTGCATATCTGGCTGTGGAATATGATTGTTTTACCATGGCCTAATTTCAGTATGGGGTCAAGCAAATAAAATAGTTGAGTCCTCAGAGTATTTTAGTCTTTATTTGCCCTCTTTAAATTCATGGTGAAGCTAAAGCTGTCACATGCTAGCAGTAAGGCTGGATGTTAAAACATGCACTTCTTGCATCAATGGGGTTTTGCAGGTAGACTATATAGATTAGAATGACCTGAAAATACGCCTACATAAAATGATGTACTTTGAAATTTCAAGTAGAAAAAAGAAGGGTATACCTGAACCTGTGAAAAATAAGCTAATTTAGTAATTCTGAAGCTCAGTGGTATGCAAGACCTGTATGCCTCCGTGTTTGCTCCCATCCTGGAGCACCTTGACGTGGAACAATGTTTTGTAAAACCAGACTTGCAGCATTTGTTTCCATGGTCTTTTGAATTCTGCTGTAATTTCTGCATGTATTTAAATGGTAGTGTTTACTTTCTTCCCCCGTTACCGAGTTGTCTGAAATCTTAATAACCCTTCAGAACATTGTTTCCTTGACAAGTGCCATGTAAGATATAAATCCATAGTAGCTGTGTTAGCATTCTGTGTGGTTTTAAGCATTCTTCTTGAAGTCATCAACACTAGAGGCAGGGAAGGATTATTTGCAAATGTTGATGGCTTCTGGAAATGGAAGGCAGAAAAAAAGCAAAAATGCATAAAACTCAGATTTTTGAGCTGCTAGATAATGCTGTTGATTTAATGGGTTTGGACTTTTAAATGTTTAGCTGAAGGTTTTTCGTCTGTGTGCTTGAGAGCTGTTCTTTACCAGCTACGGAAGCAGTTGTCCCCTTTTCTTTTTGCTTCAATTAACAGCTGTATGAAAGTGCATTTGTTTCCTCTACGTGCCTCTCCTCAAGTTTTATGACTGGCAGTAAACAGCGGAGTCTTTTTACGATAGCTGACTCCTGAGTGTTAGGTTTGTTCAATACATAAGTGTGTGATTTCACAGCGTGAGTGCCAACTTACCAATACTTAGAATATTCCACACTGTTTTTCTTCTGCCCCGTTACTTTCATCCTTCAGTATTCCCCGGAATGCTACTGCAAGTGCTGAAATAATAAAGTGTTCAAACTTTCTTTGAAGGCATAGATCCAGGTCGAGGTCCCGTGAACGTCGGTCTAGATCCAGAGATCGTGGTCGTGGAGGTGGTGGAGGAGGAGGAGGAGGACGTGAACGTGATAGGAGGCGATCAAGAGATCGTGAAAGATCCGGTCGATTCTGAGCCATGCCATTTTTACTGTATGTCTGCTAGAAAGTGTTGTAGTTTGACCAAACAAGTTCATAATGAGATTTTTTTTAAAGATGGGCTTCTGAATAAAAATTTGTAGTGATACAGTATTCTTTGTGTAACTTGTTTCTTGTTGGGGTGGGGGGGGAGTCTTTTTAACTGTCATTCCTCTATCTTGACAAATACCTGGATTAATACTATGCCTGAGGGAAAGGTGGTAAATGTATTGGAGGAGGGCCAGTTTGGGGTTTTTTTTATTTTTATTTTTTATTTGGACATGATTTGAACTGTTGATGAAAATGTGTGTGTATATAATATGAAATATTATATACATAGTAAAAAAAAAATAATATACTGCTTAAGAAACAGTTACTCAAATAAGTTTCCCTTTTCTGCTATGCTGTCTGCTTATTTAGGTTAGTTTAGGCACATTTAAAAGGAAGGCTGTGCGAAGTGCATTTATTTACAAGTAGAAACGCTTAGTTACAAAATGTATGTTTGTTTGTTACCAGAAGTCTGTGCTCTGTCTATCAATGTGACTGTGGCATTTACAATAAATTCCAGTTTCTTGGTGTAAAATCTAAAGCCTTTTTTCTAAGCACTCCGGAGCAGTTGTGTTGCTACTCCTGGCAGTGCCAGAGTTCATAGCTGAGGGGTTTTTTTTATTCTTGACTGATTTCCTCATCTTTGCTAGAAATGAAGTTACCTATTGCAGTGTGTGGGAGGGGTGGGAAACAGTATTTTTGTCTCAGTAGCAATGAGTTTCTTTTTTAAAAACTCATGCTCCATACAACAGGAAACACAGGATCTATTGACAGAAACTAAAGGTCCTAAACAGAAGGCCCACATTTCTTAACAGACTGAATTTTTTCACTGTGTTCTCCTAGCTGTTGCTTAATGAAGAGTGTTTCCCTAGCGTTCGAGATGACAGAGGACTAATTGGATACTGAGGAAAATATATATTTTTCCAGTTTCACTTACTTTTGAAGAGATGTAAAGTATGATGGAGGCTGACAAACAGATGGCAGTTTCTTCACAAGACTTTCTGTCTTGGTCCGGTTGAATCGCACAACAGCTATGTATCCTAGGTTGTGCATCCCTTAAGGAGCTTAATTGAAATGTTGCTTGAGAGACTGTACAGTGTACTTGCAATTTCAATTTTATTCTGCTTGTGAGGTAGCATGAAGTTTTGGTCAGTGGTCATATTTATGTCTGTAAAACTACCTAATGCAATAATAGCTTTCTGATGTGACAGAGCATTTACCAGCTCTTTAATTCTTAGAGTATGGTAACTTGATAAGTGATAGATCTGCTCCTTAATCATTTAAAGTAAATAAAAGGATAATAAAGGATATGGAAGTGTTGCATAGACAGATTAACAAACCAAAATACAAAATCACTTTGCTCGCTGTAACTTGGAGATGGCGCAGAAAAATATATTAAAAAGTGTGCATTTCTAAATGAATATAAATTGTCTTTTAGAACGGCATTCTTGTACCAACTTAAATTGAATTTATTACATTTCTTCTGAGTGGTTTGACCAACCAGTTTGTGGAATTTTTTCCTGCCATAACTTTTGAAAAGAAAGGTATCTTTACATGAAGACAGCTTCACTATTTATATTTTGTTGCAAATACATGAACTATGAATTCTTTTTTGGTGGAAGAAGTTGATCGGTGCCTAGAATAGATGGCTGAACTGAAACCTGTGATATGTCTGCTAGATATGAGGAATTTAACATTGATAACTTAGTCCTGGTCTAAAGGGCATTAATCCAGTTCCATTTCCTGAATGAGATTTAGGATTATTAGTGAACTAATTTAAATCTCAAGCTCAAAAAGGTGAGAATAGCCACTAGTTTTTAATACGGTATCCAGTATAATGTGGTTACTACTTAAAATGCTTAAGATCTTTTTTCACATGGGTTATTGGCACAAGCTAGTTTGCTGTATAAACAAATTCATTTTAAACTAGTATAAATGTGTCTTTATAATGGCTTTCATCTGTTTATCTAAGCAGTGCTGAACAGCAAGTACATTTTTCTGTGTGAACAGATAGGAAACAGTTTTCCTCCTCCTCTTGTTACTGGAAGATGTCTTAAAGGGCGCTGAAAGCAACGAGTTTTACTGGTGATGGCATTCAGCATGTAAACCAAGCTCATAATACAGCATCAGTGATGTTCACCCTTAAGGATGTATGCTACCAATAAAATTAATCCCATCTGAAATGTAAACTGCACAAATTTAGATAAACATGGTAGTCCAAACCTGATTCATTTACCAATGCAAAGGTAGGGAATCCTACTCGCCCACTCTGTTCTTATATGTATAGAGTTGAATTTTTCCCTCCCCCCCTATAGATCCTGTTTTTCACAGATACATTGTTGTTGGCTCTTAACAGTGGGTCTGATCTTAGGAATTCCTATACCTCAAATAAGTGACAGCATACAGTATTTTCAGAAGTCTGAGTCAATTAGGTTGAAAATGTTAATCCCGAGTGGCTTCCTCTTATTTGTATTTGGCTCTTATTCTGTGGAAATGCTGCTTGTCCATGAATATGATGTATGTTGAGACTGTAAAACCAAATGGAGAAAATTTGTTCAAAAATAAAGCCTTTTTTTAATAAGAATCTGACAAAAATTATCCCTTTCCTTTAAATGGGATGCTGCTCTTTAAATCATTGATGAGGACATAGACTACGCATTTCAAATTCTCAGCTTTTGGCTCAGGTCACTTTCAAATAATCCTTTGACTTGTTTTTAGGGCTGGTGGAGCATGCCTTAAATACATAACAAACAAAACAATGATATTTACTTCATAAAGTTGAACTATCAAAAGAGTGCAACTTGGTGGGTTGGTTGCTGTTTATTTTCCTAACCTGATAAGGGCTCTGGTTAAGTAGTCCTGTAACTTTCTATTGTGGTAATCTATAGAGAACAAGAAAGCTTATTTTGACAGGAAAAAAAAAAAGTGTTGAGGAAACGAGTGACTGAGAAGGGGGACAATTTTTTGAAGGTGATTTTTTTTTTCCCCCAGTGTTGCATGGATTGTACTGCAAAACTTTGGCGATGGACACAACCATTAATTCCCACAGTCTTACTTTTACAATTGCAGCTTGTACCAAGTATGCTGTCTTTAACATAGCAGAACGTGAACTGCTTTTGTATCAGGTAGGGAAAGTATGAATCGCTGGGTTCTCCAAGCACTAACTTAGGACTGTTCTGAAAATCAGTCCTGTTTGAGGAAGTGTCAGAGCTGAAAAAAATGATACTGACTTGGTGTGTGCTCACATCAGCTGGTAAGGAAGTAATACCTAATAGGTAAGACTATCCTGGCAGAGAATACATATAGCTGTGCTCATTTACTACAAAGGTGAGCCTGAGGTATATACTATTGAGCATAGCTTTATACTGGAATGTGTGAATTTCCATTTTAAAAAACCAGAATTGCTGCCAGATGTCTATAGAACAAATCAGCCTGTCTTTGCATCGAAAAGATACATGATGCATCCTAAAACTATGCACAAGTATTTCTGAACTTATCCAATTAGCCAATTTTATTTACCGCATTATATTTACAAATGTCTCCTGGTTCTTCTTGCAGTTTTCAATATGTGTATATAGGAAATGGAGCATGTCTCTTGGACTCTGTGAATGATCCATGCTCCTCAGCAGTGTGCTCATCAGTCATAAACATCTGATCTTCTAGTGCTGAGTGTCATGCTTCATTTCCTATAAAGCTAACCTTTAGCAAGAAGAAAGAATAGCAAAGGACAACGCTATCCACAGCTGCACACAGTTTCAGCAGCTGCACCAGAGCTATTTTAGAAGGTCCCATCTTGCAAAGATGAAAGTTCCTGCCAAAAAGGCATCAGTTCAATTGCTCTGAAGTTTCAGCTGTAAATTGACTTTTGAAAACAGTTTGAACAGTGAGAGCTACCAGACCGTATCTGCCAGCAGACCAGCTCTGGTAGCCAGCATCTTCATTTCTCCATATGTGAAGTAGGAGAGAGAAAGGTGATGGTTATCAGCTCTGTACGTTCTTCATTGCCCTCTGATGGTTGCTAGTTCAGTACTTTTCTCATACTTAGAGTTTTGGTGGCTGCTTTCTGACTAGATAGTTTTGGCAGGACTAAAGGCAAGTACAAGTTACATGCATCCTTACATCAGCAGAGCAGCACTGTGATAGCTTCTGATGAAATGGTGGCATTCAAGTGAGGCTTTGGGCAGTAGTTTCCCAGGTGAGCTGTGGCCCAGTTTGTGTGAGTACAGTTTTCCCTTTGATTGAAGTATCTTAGAAATATTCAGAGTTCTGATGATTGTTCCCACTAGGGAGAAAACTTACAATCCATATTCCTTTGAGACAAACTCACTGGTTTCTGAAGAAGGCGTGCAGAGTGCTGTTCTCCTGAGCAGTGCTATAGCACTGTAGGCCACTGACTTCAGTTGTCAATTTCCAAAGCTGCTCTTTTGGTTAAGCCTGAAGGAATTAAATAAATTAAAACGTTCCTGCCCTGCTTTTACTGGGCTATGAGACAAAATGTGGATACAGGCTTTGCATAGCAGATGAGCCAGTCTCCCTGCCCCTCTGTTTTTCACTGAAAGCTCTACAGTCTGCCAGGTTTAGGCCTGCTGTGTTTTTGCTGGCAGCTGGCTCAATTTCAAGCATTGCCACCTATGCAACTGAATTTTGGCTGTATTTCCAGCCCATTTTCACTTGCTTCTTGGAGCTGCTTGGGATTCCAAATAGGAGAAAGAAAAGACGAAGCTGCTTCCATTGCAGCCAGGTGTAGCAGCAAACCTTCTAGGCCTGAGGAGCAACTCTGAGCCTGAAGAGCCAAAGGAGCACCTGCTCTCCTTTTCCTGCTATCTCATTTCCCCTTGAGAGCTAATATTTGTGTTTAAGAGAAAGTTGAGGAGGCTGCACAGCTCAGAACAGTCCTGTGTCTTTTGTTACTGTCCTTTCCTCCTTTTTCGCTAGTGAATGTGAAAGTGGCTTCGTCCTTTCTTCCTCCTACGCTGGTGGAGAAAAAAAAAAAGTCCAACAGCTGCAAGAGAAAGGCTTGATAAAAGAACATTGAGGCAGTATGTGAAAAAGTGATTTCTGGACAAAGAGTAAGAGTAAACTGAGTAGACTGCCCTACTGGCTTTAAAGTTGTTGTGTTGCTGGGCTAGGGATGGGGCAAGGGAAATTCCAAAGCCTAAGGCCAAAATCTGACCGAGAAATAGCTTCATGAAGGTCCGGACCAGTTTTTTCATTCTGGAGGGCTTTGACTCATGGTTTTTGACTCTTTCACATGACCGTGTTGACCACAACAGAGATGTTTAATTGCCCTTCTTTGCTTAGCCTCCGAGGAAGGAAGCCTTTGGTCTTTAGCCAGCTATATGAGTCTCAAACACACACGGTAGCACTTTAACTCTGTTCAGAAAGACCATCTTCAGCAGAGGAATAGAGTTGTAGATGAAGGCAGACTAATGGATGATATCCTTCCTGTGGGACTGTAGATGACTTAAGCAGGGTTTCAGACAGCCTCTCACTCCATCCAAACTGTGTTCTCACAGTTTGAATGGGCAACTCACCAAAGAACTGGCTGGGTCATTGGGATAGAGGGCAGTTAATAATGGATTATTCCCTACATGGAGGCTAATTACAAGTGTAGTACCACAGAGGTCTGTCAGTCCTAGCAACTGTCCTGTTGAACCAATTTGCTTATCAGTGACTTTAAGGAGAAAATGAGTATTATCCTCACCAGGCTTGTGAGTGACACCAAATTAGGGTTGCACTCTTGACAAGTAGAGTGCAAAGCAGCCCTCTGTAGGCACCTGGATGGGCTTGAGGAATGGGCCAGCAGAAACGTCATGAAATTTGAACACGAGCTTATGACAAGTCCTGCCCCTGGAATGAAGCAAGCCCCTGTCAGGCTGGGGACAACCTGGCTGGGGAGCAGCCCTGTGTGAAAGGTCCCTGGGGGTGCAGTGGGCAGCAAACAGGGCAGGAGGCCACAACTTGTCCTGGCAGCAGTGAGGACCAACCTGCATCCTGAATAGTGCGACTGAGACAGTCAGCAGCCTGAGGGAAGTGACTGTTCCCCTCTGCCTCGGTACTTGCTAGGCTGCATCTAGGTACTGCTTACTGTTTTGGCTTCCAGTGTGGAAAAGCTATCAATAAATTGGAGTTGTTTGGGTTGGGGAAGGTCCAAGATAGCCAGGGGCTGGAGCAATGGCCATGTGAGGAGTGGCTGGGGCCTGGCTCAGACGAGGGAAGGAGCAACTGTAGGGGAACCTAACAGCCACCTCCTATACCTGCAGGGAGGTCAGCAAGAAAAGAAGCCATGATCTTCACTGAGGTTGTCAAGTGAAAAGGGAAGTTCTAACTCAGGGCAGAGACAACATTTTCCCAATGAGAACGGTTAGACACTGGGCTGGCTGCACAGGCTGTGTCCTTGGAGGCTTTCAAGACACAACAGTACATAGCCTGAGCAACCTATTCTGATCTCTGGGCTGACACTGCTTTGAGCAGTAGGGTGGACTTCAGGCCCCTTCCAGCCAAAGCAATTCTGTGCTCCTCGTGTTAAACCTAAATCCTTATTGTCGCAACTTTGACCTACTCCACTTCCTCCTGAAGGAACTTGAAAAATTGTATATCCCCTTTCCTTATTGCCCTGTAGCTAATTTGAGCCAGTTCTTCCCATCTTCTGTTTTCTGTTCTTTGGTGTTCCTCTCAGGTCACATTTCTCTCTACACGTTCTTGCTGCATGCCTTGTTTCTATGTTGGCCATACCTCTTTTGGTCGTAAAAAAGGCCATACCTTTTTTGCAGTGCAGCTCATCGGATTGGATATGGTCCCTCAACTAAGCGCACCAGTGCCGAGTGTCATGTCTCCTACAGTCTACATTCCTATTTGCGTAACCCTGTATGATGTTTGTTTTTTTCACAACAGTGAGGCATTGCTGACTTGCAACAAGCTTGTGTGGCACTATAATCATGCATTCTGTTTTACAAAATTACTGTCCAGATAGTGGTTACATGAGTGTTACACGAGTGGTCACATTGCTCCTGCCTGGCCATAAAAATTTGCGTTTGTCCTTACTAGCCTTATCCTACCCTGCCATCTCATTTCTCCAGCTGTTAAAGATCATTTCAAACTATGATTCTGTCCTCGAAATTGTTTGCAGCCTCTCCCACTTGGTTAAAATAAAATCTGCTATGGCTCCTCTTGGGCTGTTTTTACCTCCCTTCGTGTAATAGCTCTTCATGTTTTCATAGTTTCTGCGATAGCCATGAGCTCTCCCTTCCCAAACAGGCTCTGGGTACCACCAATGCACCATTAGTTCTTTGGATGACTTCACTGGCTCTCACAAAAAACTTCCTGTACCTGATGTTCTGAGTTCCTACACAATAGTATTTGCCCTTTGGTCACTGACTGCAGATGTTCAAGGGGTCTCTCCTTTACCTTTCAGTCTTTGGTGAATCTCTGACACAAGAAACAGTAATTTTTGCTTGCCATTCCTAAACAAGATGTTTATTTCTATATTAACATAGAAATACCTGTCATAAAGATCAAGCCATAACTCTGGTTGTACACTAGCCCTTCCTGCAATTCCTCTTGTTCCTTAGGAGAAAAGTAATGTGAAGTAATGGCAGATGTTCCTCAATCTCAGGAAATGGCTTACGTGCTCCATGGCACTGGCAGTGAATTGCTGATTTATAGAAGTTACTTACAAGGCCAGGTTAAGGATTAATCTAAGTGTCCCACGGATTGGGCTCAGTTATGGTGGTCTAATTAGGGCGCAGTCACAAAAAACTTTGTATACTCATTTCCTGTCACCATGACTATTGCTACTAATGTCAATGGGAGAGTGTGTCTGTGTCACTACAGATAAGCTAAAAATTGTTTTTTTTTTAAACACAAAACTCTCACTCCTTGTAAGTGTATACAGTTTACCTGAGAGATGAAATGCTGAGCGCAGAACTGTGACGCAATTACAAATACCTCTAATTAGCCTGGCACATTATGTTCAGATAGTTTCCAGCACACCTAGTGTTGTCACTTGGTCTTACAAGTTGCCTTTGAGGTGTCTGTTTCACAGTTTGAAAGATGAATCAAGTCCATCTGTGCCGCCAGCTTCATATCTCAGCATCCATCTGCCTGAGTTTGCAGTGGCTGCTGCAAGGTTGGCGCTTCTGAAGCAGAACAGCCTCTGTGCCTCTTCCCTCAGTCTGAAAAGCATCAAAGATAAAAAGGTCTGGTTTAACCACCCCCCTCCTTGGGCTCTGTAGATATGCTGTCAGTTTTCAAACATTTGCACGAGTTTTTTTGAAGTTATGACAGTGTTCCAGGCACAAATATTCATGGATTCTTGTTTTGCTGTGCTTTGCTCAGCTGTGCCATTCTGTAATCCAACAGTACCAAAAGTAAGCCAGGGTCTGTTTCCACAAGCTCTTCCAGTGGTGCCAATGGTTACCTGTGCAAACCATGCATATTTCTGACATAACTAGTTAGGCAAGCTGTGATTTAAAATAAGTAACAGCTGTATTTTCTAGCAATTTGTTAGGAAAATGAGAATAATGTAGAATTAAAAGTAGGTTTGCATCTATTTTGGTCCACTAAGAGACAGGGAAAAAGAAACATTTTTTTCTAAAGCATGGATTTTTCTTGCAACCCGAGTGTGGATTTTCAGCATATACAAGGGAACAGCTGCCTTAGTTTTGCTGTTTATTGAAGGCTGATATAAAATACCTGCCACTTCCCTTGTTTGTTCATTGGATCATGGAATGGCTTTGGTTGGAAATGATCTTAAATATAATGTAGTTCCAACCCCTGCTGTGGACAGGGCTGCCCCCCACCAGCTCAGGCTGCCCAGGGCCTCATCCAACCTGGCCTTGAGAGCATCCAGGGATGGGGCACCACAGTTTCTCTGGGCAGCACATTCTTAGTTGTACAGTAGCTTTCCGGCTTTGCTCTTGTTTATGTTTCAAAGATCTCAGCCCACATTTTATATTCATTTCCTTCCTCGAGAGCCTGCTCTGTGCCCCCAGGACCTGATGTTCAGCCTCAGACTGGCCACATCCAGTCATCAACTCCCTTCTGCCACTTTTACCACCCTGCTCCTTATTCCTTATTTTTATACAGCATGCAATTATGATGTTATATGGCTATCTGTGGAATAGCTGTGTATACAGACAGAGGCGTATAATGCTGTCCCCACTCCTTCCATTACCTAAAACATGTGAACACTGAAGGGTGAGCCACGTTCAAAACTACCTCAAATTGCCTTTCTAACGTGCGTTCTCCACAGACGCAGCAGGCCCTACTGTTGGGCTCTCTGCAGCACTATTGGTATCTCTTACATTTGGTTCTGCATGAGCTGGGGCACCCCATAGCGGACAAGCGTGATCCCATCGATTTACATCAAGAGCCCCACAACCCCCGTGCCCCACCACAGCTTTCTCCCCTCCTCCCTCTATACCTTTCCCCCCCCCCCCCCCCCACGGCGGGGAGCGGCGCAGCGCCATCCATCCCCACGCGCCGCGGGGGGCGGACATTTTCCTCCTCCGCTCCGCACCCCGCGCCATCTTACGATTGGCTGCCACCATCTCGCCGACGCCCCCGTGCCGACCAATCGCCGAGCTCCTCGCCGCCTCCTCCCCAATCGAGGGGGCGGTGCTAAGAGGAGGGGTGGAGCCGAGACGCGCCGGGCTCTTCTTAACGCGGTGGACGGGGCTACGCTCCTCGCCTGCAGCGGCGTCGTCGGAACGCCCGCCCCGCCGGTGAGGTGGCGGCTCTCGGGGGGGGGGAGGGGTCGGCGCCCGCCGTTGCATCAGCCCCTGGAGGGCCCGCGTGGGTGGAGGGAGGCAGGGAGCGTGGGTGGGCTTTTTGTTCGGTTATTAATCGGAATGGATGGGCTGGCGGGAGGTCGGGGGAGGCGGAGGACGGGGGATGCTCTCGGCAGCCTGGGCTCGGGGCGGGGGAGGAGGAAGGCTGCTCTCAGGATGGCTCCCAGTATAGCATGCTGCTCCTTGCTCTCGCACCAGGGCTTCTCCCTGCTACCGTCGGGGTCTCTTACGGGTCGGTGCTCTGTTGGGGTGAGCCAGGCTGAAAAGCTCGTTTTGTTGCCTCTTATTTCGTGCGTTCCCACTCCCATGCTGGGCAAGATCTAATGCTCACAGCAACGTTAATTATACCAATAGTGGTATGGCTGAGCCCGTGCTGCTTGGCAGGTTGGTGACCCTTGCCTGTCCTCGGGTGGCTGCTTTCTCGTTCACCTTCCTCACCCCAAAGCCTTTGACCATGGAAGTTTGGAAGCACGCTGGCCCTGTTCCGGCTGAGCAGCTCGGCATGTACGTATTTACTTTTTAAACAAGGCTGTTTGCTGAGTCCAGATACAAGCCCTGCCTTCCAATAAACTTCTTCCGATCAGAGGAGGGAACGCCTCGGCTGTGGAGATGAGCAAACCTGGGCGAGAGGAGGAAGGGCCTCCCGTGAGACCCCAGAGCATGCTGTTTTGTGGCTGGGGTAAATCTGCAGCGAGATGGCTGCTAACAGAGAAAGGCAGAGATGCTAGGTGAGGCCTAGCATTTCGGCATGCCCTCCTTTTTGGCAACTTTTTGGTACCCCATGGCATCCTCTGAGCTCAGTCAAACCTGCTTTCCACAAGCCAGAGCAGTCCGAAAAACTGTAGTGGTAGCAAAGTCGCTGAGGCCCTGCTGCAGGCCTGCCAACTCAGGTACATGATTAATCTGCTGGCAGCTGGCTGCAGGGAGGGCCTGGGCCAGCCATAGTTGTTGGCAGCTGCCTGCTGCCCACCTTGAGAGGTCATGAAGTCTCCTTTTCTGGAGGTATTCAAAACCAACCTGGATGCTTTCCTGCGTAATCTACTGTAGAGAACCTGCTTTAGCAGGGGTTTGGACCAGATGATCTCCAGAGGTCCCTTCCCTATGGTTCTGTGACTGAGGGAGCACCGTGCCTGCCAAAGGCCCTATTGACGTACCGAGTGTGAGTGGCTTCTGGGCATTGCCACGGGTGAGCCCCACAGGGACAAGCTGTGTCCCCTCAGGCTGGGTGTGGGCTGTGTGCTCTGGGCTGAGGGAACAAGAGATGGGAAGTAATGCTAAAACTTGTGGCTATAGCAGGTAAAAATCCAGATGAGACATTGTTCAGCCTTTTCTCTAGTGCTGTTTTGCTCCTCAGGTCTTTTAAATGAAGATTCATGTCTTACGGTGTGAATCCAGGCAGGTTGGAGTGAACTCAGGAAGTAGAGGCACACCTCTTCAGGGCTGCACACAGTGTTCCTCTGTGTGGAGAAGGAAGGCTGAACGCTTCATGTTTTCACTAGCTGATCTTATGCATGATAGTTGCCAGAGTGATGGGAGTTGCTTTGCTGTTGAAGTTCTGATATCCTAGAGAGGCAGGGGCATGGAAGGACCACAGCTTTCCTATCAGTAGGTTGAATATGCCAGTCCAACCATGAAAAGAAGAGTCCTCACTGAGGGGATGTACAGAGATGAGGCTTCTGATTCTTGCAGCGTCTCTTCCACATGGTAGCTTTCGTTCATATCCAGTTATTCCAAGTCCCTTAACAACTCCAGGCACAGGAGAGATGGCTGGCTGCTACTGAACAAGTAGCAAAGTGCCATAAGAAGAACTCAGCTGTCTGGTAGTCTCCTGAATCACAGAATTGTTAAGGTTGGGAAGACCACTAAGATCACCTAGTACAACCACCAACTCATCCCCGCCACATCCACTAACTACATCCCTCAGTGCCACGTCCTTGAACACCTCCCTGGGCAGCCTGTGCCACTGCCTTACCAAAGTATAGCTGTGGTAAGGCAGCTTCCAAAGGTTGTGTATGTACTGCTACTTCTGGTAGCCTTTAGAGATCCTCCAGCTCTCTAAGGCCCTGTGGTACCACAGAGCAAGCAGAACAACTGGTTTTAGGTGGTTTACTCATTCGTATACCTGCTTAGCATCTAAGTTTCCCATTCTCATGCTACAGCGTGGTGGAATCCTGTATCTCTTCTTTGGTTGAGCAGTCAGCCCTTAGGGCATCTCCCTCTGATCCATCTTGTACACCTGCCTTTAGACAGCTTAATTTTGGCTTCAGACACGACTGAAGTTAATTAGGTTCTCGCACATATGATACTCTGTACATGTCTGTATTAGTGCTGACATGGTATACTGTAAACAGCCTCAGAAACCGTAGCTCCTAACATCTGTGGAGTGAGTTCAACCCAGGTTGTTCAGGGATTAATTTCGTCCACTGGCCTTCAGTGCTATTCCTTGTAATTTCCTCGTGTACGAATTGAGGAGTACTTCAGATCTTGGATTCCCTGTGCAGGTTGATGCTGAGGTGTGGCCTTGTCTGTGAGGCTTTCTGGATCTATTACATCTGTCTGTGCTCCAGTCCACTCCATGCTTTAAGCTTAAGTGACTGTAATTTGGCTTTCTAATTTTTCTTCCTTGCGTGCTCTGTAGATATAAGGGCAGAAGTTAGTCAGGCTTTTCTACCTGGGTTCTGCCCACACTGCCAGCTATTTCTGGGAGTGTTTACTTTTATGGCAAACCTCAGTTCAAGATAGCAGAAGTTCCCTCCTGAAGATGGGCAGCCCTTCCTGCAGCCCACCAAGCAATGTTCATTCACTGTTCTCCCCTGTCTGTGTGTCCAGAAGACAGTCTGAGAAGGGGATCAGGATAGCAAAGAAGTTGCTGTCTTTTGTTTTGATAATTTTTGCTCAGCCCTTTTTCTTTGTCCCCCAAAGACGTCCCCACCAGAAAGGTTTATGAGCGTCCTATGCTCTTGTTTATGGGTCTTTGGGTGAATCTGGTTGTGGTCCATCTGCCCCATGTTTTGCTAGAGTTGCCTTAGATTGGGCTGCAAGTGCCAGAAGGATGTTTGGGGTGGTGTCTAAGGAAGCTCATTGGTGGGATTGAAGGAGCTTGGAGAGATGAGAGAGATCTTGGTTCAGATCAGAGTCAGCCACTGGACTCTTGTCTTCTCCTGTATGAAGAGCAAAAAGCCATTGCTGCTGCTTGTAAGACTTCACTGAGCACTGTGGTAAGAATTCACTTTTGAATTCCTAAGTTTGTAATGGGATGTTGTCCTTCTTCAGCATCTGTGACATTAGACTGACCGTAGCTGTGACTGATTCTCTACTACCATGATTAGAATTTGACTTTATAAATGTATATGCGCATACCTATGGAGTTTGAATTGGATGAGTGTGAGGTTGTTTAAAATCATGCTTAGTAAAGCACTTTGAAAGGAATTGTTGAATAGGGGCCTGTGTTGATTCTGGTGGATGGTATTGCTTAAGATTGGTATCTGATGACAAGGGTTTTGTTGGTTAGGTTTATGGTTAGGTTTTTTTCCTCTTTGGCCACATTTTTGTTGAAAGTTCTAGCCCCATGACCAAGCTTTGAAGCATCAAAGTATTTCTCTTCCTCTAAACGCATGAGAGAATCTCCCATCTTAGTTGAAGGCAGTAAATACAGCTTTTCCTCTATGCCTGCTATTTCTATGTCAAGAGGTAATGGGTATTTCCAGTAGTGGATTTTTTATGGACTTGTAACTTTTTTTTCCCTCATAATAGAGGAAATACAATGTCCCCAGTTTAGAGGGTCTCCTTCAAAAGGCAGCTTTTGAAAACAGCCATATTCACTTCTTTCGTGCAGACAGTGCAAAGAACAAGTACTTACTCCTACAGATCTTTGAAATTTGTACTGCCACAGATTTCTCTCCCTTTCTCCAAAATTTTTGGGCCATATTGCGAGACACCAAGGTGTGGTGACTTGAAGTCTGATTTATTTTTTTTTTCCACTCCTCTGTTTTATGAGAGCATAAAATCATTTGAGTTGGAAGGGGCCTTTAAAGTTCATCTAATCCAACTCCCCTGCAATTAACAGGGAAGAACAAAATCTGCTTCCTCTCTATAAGCTGTTGCTGCTACCTTCCCATGTGTTGAAGAGGTGTGATCCTTTCACAGCAAGGTATCTTTATTAGATGGGCTTTGTAACGATTGCCAGCATCTATGCCCAGTGTTGTATCCACTATCTTGAGCTCATATATGTGGCTTGGGGAGATTGTGACACTACTGCTTTACAAGAAAAAAAAAAAAAGTGCTGTTCTGAACTGTGAGCCAGGCATCTCCTAGAAATAGAACTGAGGCTTGCTGTGGAGCTAGAAATAAACACCTCTAGTAACAAAGACTGATAGTGTTAAATTATGCATGTTTATGGTATATGAGCTCTTTTGGACTGGTGTCTCGCAATCTAGTCCTCATTTGTAGTCTAATAGTGGCTGCAGCCTGTTTTGGAACTTGAGCATATATTAACCCAAATAAAACAGAGTAGCATGGAAGTTCTTATATCCAGATGTTGAATTATGTCAAGCCTTTGTCTTGAAAGCTTGCACTTCCAGAGACTTCTTTCATAAAGGGAGGCTGTTTAAATGCCATGAGCATTTTCTTCAAACCAGCATGTGAGAAAGGAATAGGTATGTATAAAGCAGTAGTGGTTAGTGGTGCGTGTTAACTTGCAGGATCAGATGCTAAAGTTCACTGATCCTGTGATTAGATGTTTTCCAGTCTGCCAGCAGACCATCAACACTGCCTGTCTAAGCTATGCCTCTTTTGCAAGCATTTGGCAGAAGAGTGGGGATAAGAACCTTTCCAGGTCTGGCACAGTTCAGTAACATAAAGAGCCATGAATCCTGCTGCAAAAAAGTGATGAATAAAAACCACATTTTGTAATACTTGAGCCACACTTTTACCTTCAATGATAGTAAGCTGGCTGGGGTAGGAGAAATGAATTGATTGCTTTCCCTAGTTATTCACAAGTTTCTCAATCACCCAACTGTTTACTGAGCTGCCTCATGGTTGAAGTGTTTGTGTGCTATATCCCTGCATTTGCATGTTCAACATTAGTTTGGTGGTAAGAGGAACTTATGAGTTTGGTCTCCTTCTCAAGGGTGGAGAGAAATCTATGTGTGTTCCTGTTTGGAGCCTTTTTCTAAATTGTATACAGGATCTTTTGGTGTCTGTCCTGTACAGCCCTTTCACCCCTGATGTCTCTGCAAGAATATATCCTGTGGACAGAAGTATTTTCTGACTGCTAAGCTTATAGAAATGCAATCACTAAGAGTGATTTTTTTCTGCTGCTTTCATGAAGGTGGGCTGTGAGGGCAGGGCAGAGGGTGGAAGAGGTAATACAGGAAGAACAGGGTCAGATGGCCCTCAGTTGCTTTTGCTCAATACTTCTGCTGCATGGCTCTCTTTATCCTGCCTATACAATTCAGCTTCACTCTGTTTGGCAGCTTTCTCCTCCTACCACCATAAAAGGGGGGCGAGTATCGTTTTCCTAATAAGAGACCATTTCCTGATAGTGTTTTGTTTGTTTCTTTATTTGCAGGATCCGCAGCTTTGAAGAAGATTCCAGTCACGTGACCCACTGTACTCTTTCTCCCAAAGAAAGTCCACTGTGTCTTTGCTTAAGAAAATGGAGAAGCTGATATCAGAGAAGCCTGCTCCAGTATCTAAGGTACACTTTGGTCTTTGGGGGGTGACTATTTGCCTATCTTTCTCACCAGAATTTAGGGAAGCTCTGTCTGCTTTCGGAGGGATTTGTAGTTTTTGGGGGTTTGGAATTCTTTTGAGGCAGATGCTATTGAAACCAGTGGCCTTTGTGCAAGAGTTGTGTAGATCACAAGTAGCTGTGGAGTCTTTTGGCACCGCTTTCCGATTAGCCATGGAGTAGTCTTCCACTGTTTCTCTCTGGGGGCTAGCTTTTTGTATAGGAAATGTGTCTCCCACAAGATCACGCTGCTCTCTTGAAAATCAGCACAATGGTAATTTCTGTTGGGGTAGGCTGCCCTCAGAAAAACTGCATGCTGAAGCACTGGAGAAGAAAGATCAGTTGATAAAGAGGCAGAACCAAGAATAAGGACTCCCTATGAGTAACACAACTTTTAGCTATCGTTGAGGTTGGCAGTTGCAGGGCAATAACATGAATGAGGGGTTGCCTGTGCTGCAGAACTTGAGCAAGTTTGATAGTCTTAAGAGATACTCTAGCCTCATTACATCACAACAAATGAATCACAGAAGACTCTAATCCTTTGCTCTTGAAGGATGAAATGCGTTCCCTTCCTTCCCAGGCCAAGCCAGATACAAACTCGTGCCCTTATGCTTCTGGCAAATACTTCCTTCCTGGTGGGACAGACAATGAGGACTGTAAGACTAACGATAAGGAAAGGAAGTGGATCCGTCCTGATACACCCAGCAAATGCACGTGGAAGCTTGGGAAACCCATCTCTGCTTCCCCCCATCGTCATATGTCTCTGTAAGTGTTACTTTTCTTTGGTTGCTAGTTTTCAACACAAGACTTATCCTGGTCACCACAGTGCTATATGAGTTTAACAAAAGGTGACTGGTTTAAACTGATGCTGCTGCATGTAGATATATGCTGGTGCTTCTTAAGTTCAATGCATAAACAAAACTGAGAATGCAGATTAAGCATGCAAGGGGCCTTGCACCAAGGAAGTTGTGTGATCTGAAACTGCATGCACTGGAATTAGATTACATGAAGTAACCTGGCAAGCAGTTTTCTGACGATGTACAATTGCTCTGTAATTGCTTGTAAAACAGCTGACTGTGAGCAGTGCTGCACTACTTGTGCCAGGAAGAAGTTCAGAGCACATAGTTCTTGCTTCAGTACTTGGCTTGATGTATGATTAATCCGAGAGTTCTGGATTGGGCACATGTCTTACAAATTGATATCTAATAGTTACTTTGGTTTAAGAGAATGTTCAAGTCTGCTAGAAAAGGGAGAAAGCTGGGTGTAGTGAAACATCGGAAACACTTTGTATTGCTACTCTGTGAACTGCTTTCTGACTTTGTGTCTGTGTGCCAGGCCAGACCCTCCAAACATTCTGCCCAACATCTTGAATAAAGTTGGCAACACACCGTTGGTGCGGATCAACAAGATTGGGAAGCACTTTGGGCTGAAGTGTGAACTCTGTGAGTACGACTGCAGACTGGAGAAAGTAATGAGAAACACTGTTATGGAAACACAGGCAGTTCTGCTTTGTAGTGTTGTGTAACTCAGACATAAGAGGAATGCAGGGACTATTTAGAAAACTGACTTAAAATTCCTTTAATTCGGCAGATTTTCAGGTTTTTAAGTTTTGATAATCTAAAATGCCATCCATTTTGCATTTTATTACAAGGATTCTCCCTGCAATTTTTCTGCTTTGGTTGAGAATGATTTGTATGTGTTGTATGAAGCTTTTAACTGTTTCTAATACCTGTAGTTCTCACTAGTGCACAAAATGCAGGATCTGCAAGCTGTCACTAAAGATCAAAGAAAATGATAAAAGGATTGAAAGTGCCTCTTGAAATATTTATTTAAACTGGAGGTATCTCAAGCCAGAACACACTGGTGATGTGAATAGAGTAGAACTCTTCATGTGAAGGGAATCCCCATCTCTGCTTCTGTATATGGAGTGGTGAACTGTGCCAGATACGTTAACAGTTAGGCTTGCAGATGTGTTAGGGTCAGCAGCAGGGTGCTGTTTAAGAACACTGCTTGGTTTCTTTGTTTCCAGTGGCAAAATGCGAGTACTTCAATGCTGGGGGCAGTGTGAAAGACCGCATCAGCCTGAGGATGGTAGAGGATGCTGAGAGAGCTGGGATTTTGAAGCCTGGGGACACGATCATAGAGCCAACCTCTGGAAACACAGGTAGGGGATGTAGAGGTCCTAGCAAAGAGCGGGGAAGATGTTTTTGTGGCTTTCCTGGAGAAGGCAGACCTGAGACCAGAGATGGAGGCTGCCTTTGCAGAGGAGTTTTTACGTAAAACAAACAAAATAAAAACCAAAAAAAACCCCAACAATTCTGCAGTGTGCTATGCTGACCAGAACAGCCAGCAAGGAAGTCTATGTTTGCAGGGGCTCTTAGCTTTATTTTATTTTTTTATTTTTAAAGAAAAGTGTTAGGCCAGATTCACTAGGGTCTCTAAGTTCTTTTCTGGAGTTCAATTGAAACTGTTGGAAATCAAGCCCCAAAAGACTGGTCTGATCTTCTGTTTGGAAAGTCACATAGTCCTTGGCCATGCAGTCTGTTAGATGAGGTTGGCCTGGCCTGAGAATTGGCCTTTCCCTTAGTGGTGCAGTTGAGCTGGGAGACAAGCGGCATCCCTACTGCTCTGTTTGTTGACACAGCCCTTGCGCTCCTAGATGTTCAACAGGTTTCCTTTGGACCAGCATCTCCTTGGAGGGCTGGTGGAAGGAGAAGTCCCACCAGTCAGGGGCTAGGAAAGAGCATCTGATGACCTGAGTAGGCTGGAGTTCAGTGGGCTGCTGCATCAAACCTGCTGTTCCTTTGTCAAGCTGTTCTCCTGATGGAGAGTAAATGTAGGAATGCTCTGCCCTGAGCTAGTGAGTTATAAACACAGTGTCCTCCAAGGGAGTCTGTGAGATGTGCTACAAACTGCTCCCCTACCTGATATATACTCTGGACAGGTGTCACTGGATGTCTTTAAGCTTTTTTTCTGCGCTTTTAAGCTCTTTTCTGCGCTTCACTACTTCTTGCTGATACACACAAGTTAGCTAGGTCAGACAGACTTTTCTTCTGTTATTTTCTTCCAGTCCTTGTTAATGGAGTCACTGAGATGACTGAGCTGGTGCATGAAAACGTATGAATACATTCTACAAAAAACTGGAAAGTCGTATCTGTTGCCAGTTGCTCAGCAAGTGCTCTGTAGGGCTACAGTACAACTGAAGCCCTTAGGAATGAGTCCATACTTGCTGTCTGATATACTTGCTGTCATATACTGTGTTCTTCCAGTATAAGGTCATACTATGACATCTTACTTCAGTGTTGCACCTGATAAGTAGTCTCATTTGTGTGGATCCTGAGAAGTAAAAAGAAAGCAGATGCAAGGGAGATACAAGGCAATTACTTCAAAAGCTGTCTTGATGCACTGAAAAGCAAAGGCCAGGGAGGAGAATGAAGTGAGGAAATTACCCTGGCCTCAAACCACTGTTTTGAGTGTCTAATATGTCAGATATCTTTCTCCACTGCATCTTGCTTTTTCTTCAGCAAGAGCTTTATTTTGATGTTTGATGGACTTCCAGGTCAGTACCAGAAAGTGCAAAGTACTAGTTTAGGTCTTAGAATGCTTTCTTCATCATAGACTGTAGGGAAGGATGCTGCATGGTTTGTCTTCAAGCTTTGGCACTATTAGGTTCAGTGCTGTCTTGCTTTACTTAGTTCTAGTACCTGTATTTATCTAAAATGCACTGGAAGAGGATTTGTTTCCACCTCCTTTTAAAAATTAAGGAGAATTTAAAGGTATTTGAATTACCTGAGATTTTTTTTAATATGGATTTTTCACCCCTATGCAATCTCGAACCAAGCAGAAACAGAGGCAGCTTTGGACTCTGTAGAGTATGTAATGGGCATATGTTGATACTGTGCCTGGTAACCAAAACAGCAGGGGAGGTGCCACACAGCCCTATCTCAGATTGCTGCCTTGGTCCATTTCTTCATTTTGTAGTGAAGCATTATGATAACAAGTGTAAGCATCTCAATGGAGAAGGTATTTCCGAGCTTAACTGCTCAAGTAGGCAGAAATCAGATCTGATAAAAAGGCAGAGATCAGACTGGAAGTACAGACTTTCAAACTAGAAATGAGGTGTCTCTAACAGTCTAGGTGTTTCATTGTTGTAACAAGTTGATGTAATACATTACAGCCACTATCACACAAAGAATCTAAATTTTCTTGTTTTAGAAAGGAGTTAATTTAGGAACATTGCAAACTGGGGACTTAATGCTGAATGAGTAATGCAGAATAGTAGGGAATTTAATATTCTTAACATCAAAAAGATTGCTCCACGTCCTCCTTAGCTTAAAATTCATTCTTTTCATGAGATTTTTCTGGAAAAATGTTGAGATGGCAAACAGGCAAGAGGAAGGTGAAATGCAGACCACTGGCTTTTTCATGTGCTCATATTGATAAGTACATAAAAATACACATTTCCCCCACCCTCAGCTGAACTTTCTCTGGGCTGCATTCTTCAAAGAAACAGTGTCTGTAAGTCCTTCTCTTTTCAGAAGCCAGAAACTTTGTTACTCTCCTCTAAAGACCTTGTACTCAAGTCTCTTTGAGAATCTGATTAAAACATGCCGAAGCTGGCCTTGTGGGTTTTGGTTTTTGTTTCTTCTCACTTAGTGCTCTTCATGTCTCTGCTTGCTTCCAGGAATTGGGCTGGCCTTGGCTGCAGCAGTGAAGGGTTACCGCTGTATCATTGTGATGCCAGAGAAAATGAGTATGGAGAAGGTCAGATGTGCTTTTATTTTTTGAGTGTTTAAAAAGTAAGTTTGCTTGCACTGGTGGAGTTCTTCATGCAAATGAGTCCTGTGGTTTTAGCAGTGATGTAGGCTCTTGGGCTCTAAATTGCTGACAAGACAGACTTCTGCTGAAGTGCCAAGAGAGATCCTGGCTGGGCAGCCATGGACAGAATTGTGTTTAGGACCTGTCCCTGCAGCATTGTCAGTTGGAGATCTGTCATCACAGGTATCTAGGGAACTTGAGATCTACACTGCAGATTAAAGTGTCCCTGGGTTAGCTGTCCCCCAATGAACAAAGGAGGACAAGGGAAGGCAATGGCTGAAGCTTCGAATGTTCTTGGGCTCTGCGCTAGGCTGAGCCTTGGGTGAGCCTGCTTGGCTTCTTGAGTTAACACACTGAGAGATGCTGGCAAGGGTCTGAATTGTGTCACCACAACTCAGGAAGGAGAATGCCCACTTCTGTTGGGAGTGAAAAAGCAGGAAACATCTAGCTCTAGAGCAAGACTTTTTCAGGCTTCCACCTAGAGTGATACTGTATCTGAAGACAAGAGAGTGGAGAAGAGGTCTGGTGCCTCACAATTGAAGAAGCAAATAAGTGTCAGGAAAACCACTTATGTCAATGACACAAATGAGAGCAGCCATGAACAGCATCCCCTGAGGGGATGCCCATTACCAGCCCTGGAAGGAAAGATAATGCGTGGCCACTGCCATGGTCCACAGAGCATCAAATGCGTCCCTTCTGAAGATAGTCCTTGCTCTGCCTGACTGTCTTGCCCTCAGTATTTGAGCAGTATGGAGCAATAGGGCCGCAGAGAGTCTCCTTTGATGCCTGTGTCTGAAGAAGGTAAATATATATTGCTTGCATTTAGATTTAAAAAAAAAAAAAAAAAAAAGAGGGCTATAGCCCTGTTAGAGATCAGAGCTTGTGTGACCAGCACGAAACAAGACAGAGTTTTGCTTAAATGAGATTCCTCATTATGGAGTAATAGTACCTACAGACTCAAACACCCAGAATGGCAGCAGGAATTTGGTACTGAGTTCTTATGTGAAACTTCTAGTTTTTCTGACAGTCTCTTTTTGCTACAGGTGGATGTCCTGAGAGCTCTGGGTGCTGAGATTGTGAGGACCCCAACTACTGCCAGGTTTGATTCTCCTGAATCTCACGTGGGTGTAGCATGGAGACTGAAGAATGAAATCCCCAATGCACATATCTTAGACCAGGTAAGAATAAAGTGTCAGAGATGTAGGTGTATCACAGCAAGAGGTATCACTATGTTGGTCCTTATGTCCGTGTCTGGAAGTTCCTACAGTGTATGGGTGTCTGTGAGGGGGGAAAAATGACCCACCGAGTGGTCACTATGCTGTAGGGTAGTGAGCTTTTATATTCACTAGATGGCAGCAGTAAGCCTATGTTTGGAGAAGCTAGAAAAGAAAACCGTGGATTTCTCTACTGAGTTAATAGTGCCTTGTGGAAGAATTGGTACAAGGGTCAGCTTTTTAAAAGAAACTGTCCCACAGCCAAGTCTGATTTTGGTGTTGGAGATTTTGCTGGTAACTCAGAAATACCCTTATGGCAGATCATTTAGGGAGGATGTACCTCTCTGCAGGCATTCTGCCTAGGTCCAGGTAATAGATAAAGAAACAGCCTGGAAAGTGCGTGTAGCAGTTGTGGGGCTTGAAGAATACTTGTCACGTTCTTGAAATGTCTGATAGTGTAGGTGTTTTTTCTGGTCTACTTAATGGCCATTTTGTCTATCAATGCAGTACCGTAATGCCAGCAATCCCCTGACACACTATGATACTACAGCTGAAGAGATCCTGCAACAGTGTGAAGGTAAGACTGCTCTGCTGCTGGCCTCTTCTTTAATGAGCCTTTCATATTCTTTGTTGTTATGTTCTTGGAAGATGGGACCTGAGATGGTTAATCTTGTACACGTGCTGTGTGTCATTAGAGAACTGCTTTACTCCATTTCTCTTACTAATAGACTGTTTTCCATTAAAGATAGATGCTCTGTTTTTAAGGTTCTCCAGGTGGAGAAAATAGTGATACTTAAATCATGTATGAGGAGGGGGGGAGGGGAACAACCAAAAACCTGTACCTAGAGTAGCAAGAAAGGATTGTTTCTTTTTACCTCACAACACAGAATTAGGTATTTTTACATTCTCAAACTAAATGCTCCATCACACTGAAAACTCATTAAAACAGAAGACCCTGGGAGGACAAATTGTTCTACATTGCAGCTGTCACCAGTAAGACCAGTTTTCTCTTCTGGGATCATTTCCATTTAGCTCTAGGCAGCCTAGCTGGAGTACCAGAAATGACTGGGGTGTGGCAGCAGAGAGCTTCAGCTGGGCTAACATCCTGGTAAGGAGCCCAAGAGCTATTGGAGGCATTCAGTGTGATTCTGCAAGAAAAGACCATATAGGAGGCTACTGACCTGCGCTGTAAAACAGTACAGTTAAGCTGCTTTGATGGGACCCTGACCACTGGAATAAGAAATTTGGTTATTATGTTTCTTCTGTTGAAAGTGAGGACTGTGTGAAGAGTTCTTTTCCATCCCTGCCAAAAAAACCCATCCTTCTAACTGTTCAGAGGACATAGTTTGTCTTTCTGTGACAAATGTTAAGAAATTTCAAAGTGAGTGAATTTTAACAAACTGCTATTCCACAAACCTGGAGTTTGGATGAGTTCGTTACTCTCCTGTTTCTACTTATAACCTTACGGATCAAGAGTGGCTCAGTTGTTGTTACTGAGTTTAAACCAGTCTTGTTCTGAACAGAACCTGCTCAGTGCAGTGTTGCTCTGTTGACTTGAAGGCATTTGGCTTTGTATACAAACTGACCTTTTAAAATGTGCTTTGCTCACAAAATTGTCAAGTGTGTGCACCAAGAAAACTGTGATGACTGACAGAAGAATGAACTGTCATACCTGATAGCTCTGCTGGGCACTTGTGACCAAAGCAATATATGAAATAAGAGAGTGGTAGTGTCAAGCTCTCTCAGTGAACATCTATCCTTTGCTCTTGCCACTCGCTCTGTAAATTCACTTACAAAATGTGCTACTCATTCTAAGTTCAATAATGAATTATTCTTTATCAACAAATACAGCAACAGGAAAAGTATAGGTATCATCAACTCAGTGGACCTCCTCTTAGCTCTGCCTGAAGCAAATTGTTGCCTTGCTGGGCTACTGAAGGGCATTTCAAAGCCATTTTTTAAGTAAATGGGGATGAAGCAAGATGATCTCATAACACAGTTCTTAGAAAGAAGAAAGCCTTATCTTGCCACTTTGCTGCTTTCTGTGATTTTGTTATATCAAGTCTACACTTAACTGTGAGTTTTTAATCCATCATCCTTGGGAAATGTCACAACTGCCTTTTCTTTCTCACCTTCAATCAGGAAAAATAGACATGTTTGTGGCTACAGCTGGTACAGGAGGTACCATCACTGGTGTCTCCAGAAAGCTGAAGGAGAAGTGTCCAGGTTGCAAAGTAAGTGGCAAGCCTAAAGTATGTCTAGAGCTTCAAACTGCTCTGCTTCTTGGTGTATCCCATTGCTTGTAAACCTCTCCTGGGTCTCTAAGAGAAGCTCTTGGAATTCTTCAGTTGAAAGTAGCTCTAAGCAGTGAAGAAACGTTTTTAGACACTGGCTGAAATCATTATGTTCTGGTCTTGCTATTGACTGGAGTTCAGGTTTGGCTCAGCAGGTGAAAACTGGCCCTCAGGTTCTTTCATGGGATGTTTGCTGGTGCTCACAGCAGCCTTGTGGTTTCTTCCTGACCATGGCTTGGCTTCTGACACTTTCTGGAGTGCCTGAGGTTTTTGCCAAGTGAGCCTTTCTCTGCACGAACCAATGTTGGTATGTGTACTAGTGTGCAGTTTTGGATTTCCTCCCAGAAGCTGGTATCCAGTTTCAGTCATTAATATTTTCCCATATAGTCAGGGGAGGGGAATAAAAAAAATAAAGCTTGTATTTCATGCCAAACATAAGCTCATATTGACTACAATAATGCCTGACACGTGAATGAAGACAGTTCTGTCTCTGAAACCCTTTCCTATGGCTAAACAAAGCAAAACCCTTGTAGAACAAGTAGTGCCTCTCACTTAATGTCCACAGCCTGAGGAGACAAGATGGGTTGTCCAGTGGTAAGAATCACAGTATCATTAAGGTCTCTAAGATCACCTATTCCAACCACTGACCCATCCCCACCATCCCACTGCCCATGTCCCTCAGTGCCATGTTTCCACATTTCTTGAGTACCTCCAGGGATGGTGACTCCACCACCTTCCTGGGCAGCCTGTGCCAGTGCCATACCGTTATTCCTGAGAATAAATTTTTCCTGATATCCAACCTAAAGCATCAAAGCATTCTGCTTGGAGGGGGGATGGGAGTTGCCAGGCAGAGATGAGCAGCAGACTAGTCTGCTGTTACCTGGCTGCATGTGGAGCCAGTGACACCAACAGCTGTAATAAAGCCAAGTGCTTGCTTGTAGGTAGCTGTGTTCTTGAACACAGTGTGTCATGGTAGCAAAGTGAAAACTGCTTTTACCAGATCATAGGTGTTGATCCTGAAGGCTCCATCCTTGCTCAACCCGATGAACTGAACAAGACCGACAAGACAATGTATGAAGTGGAAGGAATTGGATACGATTTTGTTCCCACCGTGTTGGATAGATCTGTAAGTCATTCTTGATTTCCTGACCTCTGCCATCTGTTGGTTGTGAGAGAAGAAGAAACTTGGGAAAGCATTTCTTTGAGCTGAAGGGGGTGAGGGGGCAGGCAGAATGATTCCTATTCTTTGTCATCAGGAAAAGCTTTCTCAAATGGCTTTTGTACAGTGTGCATTTGTCTTAAAATGCTAGGAGAAATGCTGTGAAACAGATAACAATTTTGTACAACATCATAATTCCTTTTTAAAAAAATAATAAAAATAGGATAAAATCCAACACTCTCTCTCAAAAGCAGTATGACTATGTAGTCCAGTCCTGAGCAGAAGCTGTGTCCCTGGGAAGCCCTCCAAGGGGGAGGAAATAAGTTGATACTCTCTGACTGTCTTGTAACAGATTTCAATAAAGAGATTGCAGTGCTAATGTAGTCATCTTCCCTTGGCAAAAAAAGAAATTCTACTTCCCATCTGTGGGATGGAATCCTAAGCATGTGGTGCTCAGTATGACAGCCTTTGGTTCAAGGAGTATGGGGTTGAATTTATAGTGCTGTTCTGTACTCCCTCCCCCCCCCCCCCCCTTACATATTCCTCGTTTAAAGAGACCCTTGTTTTTGTCTTCCTGCCCCCTTCCAGCTGGTGGACCAGTGGTACAAGAGCAATGATGAGGAGTCATTTGCTTTAGCACGCATGCTGATCCGAGAGGAAGGAATCCTGTGTGGTAAGAGCAGACATGAATCATTTGGGTATCTCTGAGTAATACGTGGGAGGCTAAAGCCTTGTGTGGTTCACAGAGACCTCCTAATGCTTCAGAAGCTGCCTTCCTCACCTTGGGCTCCTCTGCTGACTCTCCTCCTCTCTTTCATTCTTGTTATTGCACGTATATTCTGACAGTTTTGCCTCTGCTATGCATTTCGCCAGGTGGCAGCTCAGGCAGCGCAATGTCTGTAGCTGTGAAGGCAGCCAAAGAGCTGAAGGAGGGTCAGCGCTGTGTTGTTATCTTCCCTGACTCTATCAGGAACTACATGTAAGAACCTGCTCGTTGTCTCTGTGGGGAAAGGATGAGACAGTCCCTCAGACCTTCTTACAGCAGGGGCAAATTGAATGCATATCCCTCGTAGAGCCAAGTTGCTGAAGCAAGGAATGTGCTTGGGGCACAACTGTGTATCCAGACAAGGTCTGGCGTGGAGCCTTACGAAAGCAGAGCTCCTCCTGGTGTCTCATTTGAGTATATAGCCATAAACTGGTTAGTTAAGGTCTTCATGGAAAAGATTTGCTCTCAGTCAAATTTATTTGAGGCCATTTGGTGTTACTCTGTTCCCAGAAGGATCTCTTAAAAGCTGTTGACCACTCTTTCTGTCTCTGTCCACAGCAGTACACAGCACTACTGTGGCAGTAGCCAGTGCTGGGGAGAGTTGACAGGTGGCAATGTGGGGGCTTTGAGAAGAAATTTCATACCCACTACATTGAAATTTCATACCCACTACATTGAAATGTATTCCAAAGTGTGCTCTCTTTATTTCTGTTACCTGACTGCTTTTGCATCCAACACAATAGCACTGTATTGTGCAGTCATCTACTGTGACAGCCAGACTACAGGCTACAGAAAGACCTGCACTGAGTACATGCTGAATTGGGACTAATGTAGTTGAAGCTTTGTTTCAATGGGATTCATTTTTCTTTCTATGAATATTTCATCAGTATGTGCCTGGCTGGTAAGCTTGGATGGCAAATAGTCTGTTTTCAATTATGATTTCATTGTTAGTGATAGTGAGCTGTAAACAGTCACTGTGTGTTAGTATTGCTGTTAGATATTCAGCCTGCTAATGAGCTTTTTATTGCCTGATAATTTCCAGGTCCAAGTTCTTGAGTGACAAATGGATGATTCAGAAAGGGTTCATGACAGAAGAAGACCTTGTCAAAAAACCTTGGTAAGAACGTCGGATCCCTTTGGATTCTTATGAAACTGTTTAGCAACCCTCTTTATGGCAGTTGCTAATTTAAAGCTCACTGCAGTTTGTACTACTTCCTTTGAGTTTTAGTTGATCTTTCATGCTGTGGTGTTGGTGCGTAACTCTGGCTATTGCATACTGTGACTATTTATTAAGTCAGCCTGAATTATTTAATGTCTTTGTGGCAACAGAAGAAAATTTGATATTTGATAACTTTTGAATGAAAGGGGTTATGTCTGAAGTGAATGAGTAGTATCCAGAGAACCCTACCAACAGCAGCAGAGTTCTTGATGGCAAAGCATTACAAGTCTGTGTAACTGAGGGAAGATCTTCTATAGTTGCTACCTGTAATACCTGTAAATGTAACCCTTTCAGCAGGAGCCTGGAATTTTCTTTGTAAGATATAACTACTAGGCTCCCACATTTGTTATTTTTCACTAATCAACTGTAATCCAGAGAATTAGATAAAACAGGAGAAGTGTTTCAGTCTTAAACTTTCTCACACCTGAATGAATTTCTGATGCTGATGACAGAACTGTAAAGCCTTGAAGCCTTTACTGGCTCTGGCACAGTCTAGACTCTTCCTTGCAGGTTTTTGTCATTCCTGTAGTTGCAAATGCCACGGTAGGTGAGCAACTGGTTTTCTTCTCACCCTAAGGCTTGAATAGGTTTGGTTTTTGTTTTGTCCCAGGTGGTGGAATGTCAGTGTTCAGGAGTTAAGCCTCTCGGCTCCCCTGACTGTGCTTCCAACTGTTACCTGTGCAAAGACTGTTGAAATTCTTCGGGAGAAGGGGTTCGACCAGGTACCAGTTGTTGATGAATCTGGGTATGTCCATATATATCACTACTCATCCATACATATCACTTCTCTCAACAGGTGCCAAGGCTTGTCTTCAGGTGTTGAATAGAAGTACAATACGTTCTTCCATTATAATAATGTTGTTCTTATAAGTAGCCTTAAATGTTGCCACACCAGTGGTGGCATGTTGTCATGCTGTGATGGTCCTGCCTTTCATGTTATAAGCTTCTAGTGATTTTTATGGCATGACACTCTGTGTATCTCTCCAGCTTGGCTTCCTTGTTTTTTATGACAGCTGTTGAACTTATCAAAACCAAATTTCACGTGTAAAACAAACAATGCCCAACTTACCCATCTTCCCCACAGTTTCCACCAATTTTTTCAGAGTATTGTATTACAATGTAAATGAGGACCTGACTCCCCTATAAGCTAGAGTGTCCCAAGCAAGTTGGTATGCTGTAGGTACCCTGTGCATCTGCTGTAAGGCAGGCTGAATAATGAACAGAGCTGCCCAGTTACATTCCAGGCACGGTGCTCACACAAGGGATTCCTTTTTACATTCCTTGTAGTATGCTTGTAGGGTGAAGGAGAGCGAGCAAAATTGAGGACAGCATGACCTTGGCCTTGTCATACCTTTCAGAAGGAGAATTGAGGTCATAAAACAGTTGTATCTGCTTTTCAAAAGCTCTCCAACTGAAAAAGCTGGAGGTCCTCTTTTGAGCTAGATTCTCAGAAGGGCCAGCCACCTACTGCATTATGTGTGTTTCTAGCACTTCTGAGAACTGGACTTCAGGTTTCGCCTGCAGAAACACAGAATTGCCTCTGCAGGCTGTCTGAGAGTGGGTGTTTATATCTCTAGGAACACTAAAGGCACTTGTACTGTTAGCTATATCTTATTTCTCTTGTTCTCCAGGGTGATTTTGGGCATGGTTACTCTAGGTAACATGCTTTCTTCACTGCTTGCTGGAAAAGTTCAGCCTTCGGATGAAGTCAGCAAAGTTATCTACAAGCAGTTCAAGCAGGTAAGCAGCAATTCCACATTCACTGATATAAAGTACAACTGCAGGTGTTTTAACACTACAGATTGGGTAAGGTTTACCCAGGACCATACAGAACAGCTGGATTTGAGTGCAGACATGGACCTGTGTTCAATTCTGACCTAGTTCACTTAGTAGCTCCTAGATTTGTGTTGTGGCCCTATGTTGGGCTTTTCTATTAATTCAGTAGGCTTTCTTCTCCCGTGCTTGTCCTTTGTTCCCTCCCCAAAACCCAGCATTTATCTGGGCAATGGACTCTCCAACAGAAAAGACAGCAAGATATTGAAACAGCTCTTACTAAATAATTTCTGTATCAGCTCAAAATGGAACTGCCTTCTTTATCAGGTGTCTTCCTAGAACAGGGATGGATGACTTGATAGTGAAAGCTGTTGGTGTCAAAATGTATGAATTTCACTGGTTTTACTTGCCCATGCAATATAGTGTGGCAGGAGATCACAATTTCCCAGATTTGATTGCTCTTCTAGAATGCTTGAGTATTGTTGCTGTTGCTTTGCTTCACTTACAAGAGAAATATTTTCCTAACATTGAATGCTTAACTTAGCTTTCACCAGGTTTTCATTTTCAGCAGTCTCACAGAATTCAGGAAGCATGTGTAATGCTGCCATTCAGTCTACAAACTACAGAATCCATGAAGTTGAGAGGAAATGCTAGCTTTATAGACCAAATGTAAATGTATTTTTTCCTTCCTAGGCAGATAATCAAGGATCAGGTGGAAATGTGGTGCGTAACAAAACTATTTGGTCAATGTTCTCCCTCACTTGGACACCTTAAGAGTTTCTGGGGCTGCTGTTGTGCACTTGCTTGTGTACCTACAGTGGTGTTAGCTGTAGTGGCCAATTCTCTGCACTTCTGAGGTTGTGGCTTTTTTCCATGGACAGCTTGAACTCTCTCATGCTTCTTCAGTATAGATCCGTTTAACTTTTCTTTTCAGCTTTGTTGTCTCTTGGTGGAGGATGGAAGGGAAGCAACACTAGAGCAGTGGTATTGCTAACATACTAACTAAAAGCATCATTCTTCATTTATTTTCCATTTGAATTGATGGTTTGATAGAGAAACGTGGTTAAATGCACATAACCTCAGAAGTATTGTGAATTTTGCTTTTCTTACTGCTTTGATCAAGTTTATTTGGCTTGTTCACTGGTGAAATTGGGAGAACAGATCATCTGTGTCACTGAAATGATATACTGCAGCCAGGATCTGTACCACAGAATGCATCAGTAAGAAGTCCCCTTAACCTGTGAATGCGAAGGCAAAACTGTCTTTTAGCAGCATGGGAAACTGACACTTTCCTCTATACCTAGTAGTTGTTAGCTTGTTTCTTGGTGTGACTTTGGTCAATGTCCTAAACCATTTAATTGTTAGCATCCTAAGTGGATGAGAGCCTCCTTTTAATTTATTTGTAGGGTCATGAATGATGCCATGTTACTTGCTCAGACAAGCAGTCCTAGTCATGTGTAGCTTGGTGGCATGCATATAGGCTAATGCTGTAAGGACTTAAAAAGATTTAAAAATAAAAACTAAAATGTTGGGAAACGCATGGGCAAAATATATTTAGGGAGATTGAGTGAGTAGCAGTGAGGCAGGTGGAAAAAAAGCTTTGGAGTTCTGTCAGATTTCCATTTAACGCTTCAAAACATGCTTAGGTCTTCATTGCTGTCCTTGTAGTGCCTATGGGCTGCTTGTCCTGGTCATTTAGCTTACCTGGTCTCTCAAAACATGTTTACTGATAGCACGATGAGATGGCAAGAGGTTCTATTCTTCAGTGAGCTTTGAACCTAAATTCTAAAGCTAGGCTTTGAAGCCAAATTTGCACAGAACTGCTTGTCAGTGATGGTGACTGATAGCTGACTTGGTAGTAAATCCAGGTTTCCCGCCATCCTTTGCCTTACACATAAGCTTAAGGATTGGTGCTTTTGTATGCACTATTGCCTGCTGGTCCATTAAAGACAGGCAGCAGGGAATCTCTCTCAGTATAGAAACCAGAGTTCCGTGCTCCAGTTGAGCCCAATTGCTCATGCTGGTGATGTGTATTCTCCAGTCACAAGCAGAACTCATTGCAGAATAAAAGCTTTTTTAGCCTGTGGTACAAGACTTACCTTTACTACAAATTAATTTAAACCCTGAAGTATGCCAGATAGTGGTTGTTGCTGGTAGTTGTGAAGTTGCCTGGGTGATAGACCTGTTGCTGCTGCTAAGTACTTTAAAGCAGCATTAATAGGAAGAACAGCTTGATGCGTTCTTTCAAAAGTTTCCAGCTGAGTGTTTCAGAAGGAATGGGTTTTTTTCTGCAGAGCCAGTGTGGAGTGCTTTCTTGTTTAGTCTTCTCAAAGTTGAACTGCTGCAAATGAATTCTTGATTCTCAGTTTCTTGATTTGCACCTGGGCACAGTGCAGCTGAGCAATGTTCACCCTTGGTTTTGGATCATTTGGGCTGTTCCCTGATCCTGTTCTCAGATTGTATTCACTTCCACAATGATCATAATCTGATTCATTTGCTCATTCCCAGTCTCGCTAGAGTAAAATCACCAAGCATAATCTTGAGTTTTATGGAATACCTCTTGTTACACATGGAACACTTCTTTATCCTCTCCCTTTTCAGCTGTTCAGTATATACATTATGTTTTCAGAATCAGAATGAAAATTTCACATACGGGTTTGTTGTTTGCTTCATTTTCTTGGAAATTAGAGGTTAAAAAAAAGGAAACTTTCTGATCTTTTAACTCAGCCTTGATTTGTGTTTTACAGTACTTTAGATGTGAGCACTGCTGGTACTGTTTTTAACACTAGATGGAGGTGATTATACACTACTGAAAATATAAGGGGCTCTTTAATTTGAATTCTGTAACTCTCTCTTCAGATTAACCTGAAAGACAGCTTGGGGAAGCTCTCTCATATCCTGGAAACAGACCACTTTGCTCTAGTGGTTCACGAACAGATTCAGTGTGAGTATGATATACTGCACCTTGAAAGATGCCATCTTTATAAGAGTGGTAACAAGAAGCAAATACAAGCAGTTCTATCACAATGAATGTCACAGGTTGACTACAATTTTTTTTCCTTCTAAAGCAAAATCTTAAATTTAATGAAGCATAGTTAAGAGCTTGATGTCAATGCTGACACCGCTTCCTTAAGCCAACGTAATATGTGTAACTTATTCCCCTTCAGCAGACACTTCTTTACTCCAAACTGTACTCTTTTCTGTCCTTCTCAAAACTCTTTACACTGCTTTCCTTATGAACTGGAAATGACTGAAAAATCATTGAAGGTCGGCTGTAGAGCTGTTATACATAGATGAGAAACTAGACTGAAACAATAACACGACTCACCAGATCTGTTTGGCTGACAGCTGTGTCAGTTATTACTGCAAATGAAGAACAGTCAACACACTTGGGCTTATTCCTATTGATCTCCCTGAAGATGTGCTCTCAGCTCCGTGCTGACTAACATAACCTCGAATCTCACTGGAAGCTTGCAGTGAAACAAAGACTGAATAAATAAGTCTAAGACAATCTAGCTGTCTTAACAAACAGTAGAAGTATGCCAAGCAACTCAGCACAGCCAAAGAAACAAGGAACTCTAGACCACAAATAAAGGGACAGAGGATGTTTCAGATCATTGGGTTCCCAGGTCAAAGGTTTATGGTCGCAGTGAAATATCTCCTGAACCTGTGCTCTCAGTGAAGCACTGCTCAGAGTGTTAATAAGGTTTTTGGTGTAAGTGCAAGGGTACTGTACTGTATTTTTCTGCTAACCCTTTGATGGGGGTATTTGATGGGGGTATTTGAGGCAGATAGTGTTGCACATCCTAGTCTTGTGACCCTTAGGTCAAACAGGATGTTATCAGTTTGTAACCCGTTCAAGTAGAGTGGTAGAAACAAATGTATAAAGAAAGTGAGGCTGTATAACAAAGGATTTGGTTTGAATTTTCATGCTGAAATTAAGGATGATGAAACCCTATCCTTTCCATACTGCTTCAGTTTTTGTAAGGCCTGTGTTAAGGAGCCTTTCTGATATACAGGGGGACATCAGCAATGCCCTGGCTAGGATGGCGTGGAGTTTACCAGTGGTGGGACAGCGTGTCTTTGTGTCTCCTAATGGCTGAAAACCCCTTTTTGTTCCTGTGTAGATCACACTGATGGTTCCTCCAGTAAGCGACAAATGGTGTTTGGCATTGTTACGGCCATTGACCTGCTCAACTTTGTGACTGCGCGAGAACGGGAAAGAAAGATCAACTAAAGTCAAGGAGCAGTCAGGAGCCTCTTCAGTAATATTTTGCAATCTCCAACAAAGAATCAGGTTTATTTCTTAGGTTGAATGGTCTGTTAAGGTGTTTGTTTGGAAATTCTGAAAATAAGCAGTTAGCGATCCTGGTGTCAGCTGTACAGCTAATGCTTTCTACTCATTGCACAGTTTCTGGGAGTTTGTTTCATAATCAAGTTACATGATATTTCTGAAGACAATTTATTTTTTTACCTATATATATATGTGTGTAAAAATACTGCCTAAATTAACTGGTGTGTTCCTTACCTGTTGTGTCCAAAGCCTGGCTTTTCAAAAATATTGTCAGATGAATTAAATATGTTGAAAAGAGTTATAAGGCAGAAGTCTAAGAGCTCTGGAAGGCATTTCTTTTTAATGTGCGGGGTTGTTAAGTTAGACAGTATAGCGTAGAAACAAAAACATGGAATTGGGCTGTGAAGAAGGGAGTAGGTATTTCCCTTTTGGTGACGTCAGTGTAGAATGGGAGCAGAGATTGAGGGCTGGAGTTGAGGTTTGGTTCAACCAGCTCCTCTGAGACAGAGCTGACTTGGCTGACAAACAAAAAATAGTGATTTGTTCTACATGGTGCACTAGCTCTCACTGCAAAGATAGACCTTTCTCTTTATTCCAACTATACCTCAATTAGTAAGCATGGATGGAAAGAAAGAAAGCCTGAGCTTTTTGCCCGAAGGTTGTTTGCCATTCTTTGCCAAGAATGAAAGTTATGATCAGTAAGAGTGACATTTCTTAGCTTTATCTCTTCTTTCTATTCTGCTGGCTTCCCTGTGACAGTGGAATTGAACTGTGTGCCACAAGGAGAGGTGTTCTCTGTCCTCCATCAGAAAGCTCTGTCCCACATCAGTGCTGAGCAAAACCATGAAGCAGAATCTTTGCACGTGCCTATTGGCTGATGGTGACTTGGCGGAGGCAGGAAACACAAAGGTAGGGAAGAGCTCAAAGCCAAAGTGACACCAGAGATGCTGTCAATCCATCTGCAGTGTGACTGGCTGGTTTGTCTGCTAGCTGCTTCTTTTTCTGGGGCTAATAAGAACTTTGTAAAAAAGCTTCAGGTAGATATGTTAGTTCTTTAATGATGTAACAATGGAAGCTAGGTTAATTCCACGCTTATTCCGTTTACCTCCTTAGTCATCAACTCTCCTTTTTGGAATAGGGTTAGTAATGAAGTAATATAACACAGCCTCCCTTGAGAACTCACTTTCATCAAGAATGAGTGATGGAGACTGGTAGACTAAACAAAAAAAAAATTGGGAATTGGGAGTTGCTGGGTTGCAGTCAGGAGAGGAGAGAAAGGAAGCAGAAGTCACCAAAGAGATCTGCTCTGTTACTTGGATGGAAGCAGGTGGCCTTGCAATTTTAATTAACAGGTTGATGCTCTATCCCTAGTGAATTATTCTACAGGCAGAAAATAGTCTAGATCCACTCTTTGAGACTCTGTTAGTGCCTGGATTCATCTTTTAAAATTGTTTTCATAGAAGCTAGACAGCAAGAGTCATCAGTTTGGCTCACTGGGGAGAGGAAGAACACTCCAGGAATGATTCATCTTTAATACCCATTGTGGAACAGGGCTGAATGACACCAGAAGATACTTACCTTAAAATATGGCTTAACCATTAAATTCATAGAATTGTAGAATGGTTTGGGTTGGAAGGAACCTTTAAGATCATCCAGTTCCAACCCCCCTGCTATAGGTGGAGACGCTTCCCTCTAGACCAGGTTGCTTGAAGCCCCATCTAGCTTGAGTGTGTGATAACCTCTCTGGGCAACCTGTGCCAGTGTCTCACCACCCTGACATTAAAGAATTTCTTCCTAATATCTAGTCTACCTATACTCCTGTGAGATTTAAGACAACTTTTGCTAAGACTCTGGAATAAACTGCCATACAATCTAAAAATTTGCCATTTCAACAACAATTGGTTTTAGAGGACGGTAGGTTTCTTTAATTTTTGTTGTTTTGTCTCATGCTTTGTAGCGGTTCTGCCAGTGACAGATGTAAGAAGTCATCTTTCAAATGGAATTTTGGAGCTAATTCCCCAAGGGGTCATAAATATATTAGTACAGTTAAGGGCAAGTCTTAGCAATTCTAACAGCTTACTTCTTAGTGTAGGCAGAACCTGTGAATGGTCAGTTGTATGCACACATTAGTATTTCAGCCCAACTTTTAAGTTTCTTTCCCAGTTATTTCAAATACTGTTATCAGATGTATTTCCTGGGAGTACCAAGAGGGACTTATTTCTTTGGTTCTATTTTCTCTGCATCCTTGGATTCTGTGAAAGAGTCTGTACTTCACTGAGTACTGCTGACTGGAATATCTGCTACAACCATAGCTGTTAATGTTGCTGAATTTTGGCATTACTGTTGCTCTTAAAAATTTACTAATTTACTTTACTAATCTGATTCTTCTCCATGTTTTTCCATCTGATCCTGTCTATGGGGATAGAGGGCACTTAGTTTCTTTCTCCTTTTCCTTTTGTGACTGTAAAACTCCACATCCCAGCCTAACAGAATTTGGCAAGACATCTGAGGATGGCAGGCAGAGGGCAGTTGCCTCACTTCTCATAAGGGCAGTACAAGAGAGACATAGGATTGCTATGTTCAGGTTGAGGAAACAGATTAATGGGCAGCTTTACCTTTGACACAGTGGGAAGTATGAAGATTTTAGCTTTTTATTTTAGTTCATAAATTAATCTCTGCTATGTCCTGAAAACCAGGTGGTGCTTGTACAACAGAAGGGTTGACCAGAGTTGGCAAGGAAGAAGGGCTGTGAGTCAAAAGCAATCCAAATAACCCAAATTAATCTAACTGTGCTGCTCTGCATGCAGTTTGTTAGGAACTGTTTCATGCTCTGAACTGGCCCAAGGAGATGCTCACTGACTGCTCTTATTCGGAGTAGCAACCCTGTATGGTCAGTGGAACTGGGGAAATAACTGGAGTTTCTGAATGATTGAAAAAGTTTCCAGAGCTCTCTCCTGTAGCAGGGATGAAGACAGCAAGGGGATGGGAGTTCCTGCAGAATGGAAGTTCCTGTGATGCAAAAGTTCATCAGCGTGATGCTTTACTGCATACCTGAAAGTGCTCTTATTACCTTGATCCTAGTGACAAGCTGTAGGGCTATATATTACTGCTTTACTGATCTCTCTTTCTTTTTCAAATATTATGAGGACCAGGAAAGACATTGCTGTTTGTTTGGTCTTTAATCCAGAGTTTGAGTCTAAAGCTTGAACAGAACTTTTTTGTTTTTTTCTTCTGAAGTGGGTGTCTGTATCTTCTGTTTACTTGTGCTGGTTAAGTACATGCTGACCATCAGCCTGGAAACTATTTTGCACATGGTTATTTATATAAACTGTGCTGTGTCACTGTAGGAGAATATCGGTCCTTTTGCTTTTCTTTACTCTGCAAGAATGCTTTTATTTTCTCATATGGAGACTTTTATCCGATAGAAGCTGTACATTCTGCAAGGAGTTATCAAGCAAGAATGTTAGGATCATTTTGAAATTGTAATGACCAATATTATTACTTCCCACTCTTTCCACAAGCTGTGGCTGACTTCAGAACTCCTTGTAGCCAAGTTTCTTTTAAGTGCCTGGACCAGTCCCCTGCCCACCAAGTTGCTAAATGGTTTCTGGAAAGTTCTGTTGTGAGTTTAGCATATCGTGCTCACTGTTAGCAGTTGCCTGGTACTGCGACTGTTGTCCAACAGGCTTTCTAACTGTGTAGCATCAGCACACTACAATGACAAAGGGAAGACTTTTTACGTTTTAAGGAGCTGGGAAAAATTCATTGCACAAACATTTGCAATACGATGTAAAGAATTCAATAAAAGCTATTTGATTGCAGAATGGCTCTGTCTGGTTTGTTTATCAGTGGCAGTTCAAGCTGGGAGTATGTTAGACTGTAGGCTGTCAGAAATTTCTCGGGGCTTACCCTATTACAGAATAGGGAAGGAAATAGGCAGAGGTAGGGCTGAAATGTGACTGAAGTTCCTACTGTAAAAGTTGCCAGTGTGGTCAATTGGATAGGTGTTTGTGAATGAATACAAAGGGTAGGGGCCAGCCTGCCACGCTGTGAGGAGGCAATGAGAAGGAGATTAAGGCTAATTTGCCAAGGTAAGAGATTTATAGATGTAAATGCCAAGCAGGGAAACTGTACTGAGGATAAGGAGCTGCTGGCAGGAGCCAGTGTGACTGCATGTGTTTCAGAGCTATATGTACATGCTGCTGCTCAGCTCTGTCCCCTCTTGTCCAGTTGCTCAAGGTAAGCAAGAGTAAAAGCATTTTATAGCTGTCAGGCAAGGATGTAAACCTTTCACCCCTTGGTTTGCAGTTCCCATTGCTTTGTGGGATCAGCCCTTGCTCAAATGTCTCCAAAACACATTTGGATCATGCCAGCCTGCCTCACTGGCACCTTTTTCCATCACCTGCAGGATGGAAAGGTGCAGGATGGGTCGCCTCAGCATGCGTCAGGTTCCAGGGTCATGCAGCATGAAGTTGCAGCTACTTCATGAGTTTTTTCAATAGGAACTCCATTTAGTCTTCCTTCTCTGGTGCAGAACGTGCTTTATCTCCAGCTTACTATCTGTGGGGGGAGCAACCCAGCAGGTGAATGGTGCATGAAACGTTCCACATACATCCCTTTCATATTGATTAGTCAAAATGCTGTCCTTGTCCACAGCAATTGTGGTTCATTGCCTAACCTTCAACTTTTGGCAGTCCACTGAGATGCAAAAGTGGTTGTGATAGGCAAAAGGCCAGCATTGCTCCCAGGCTCACCTTTGCAAAGCATGGCGTGTGGTTCCAGCAGTAAGGCCAAAGGCTAACGAAACACGGAGAGCAGCTGGCAGCTTGTGGGATCAAGTTCCACTTTGGGAGTAGGCAAAAGGCGTTCTTGCCATGCTGCTGCTCTGGCTGTGGTCCCAAGTGAGGAGCTGAGCTCTAACAAATGTGAGGTGTTCAGGTGTTTTAGCCAGTGCAGCTATGTAACTGCAGTGTGATGCTTCCCACATCCATGGTGTGCCCAGAGGTTGCCCTGTCAGTAGCAGCCCTTGGGTTTGCTTGTTGCAGGCAGTGGCTGCGTGCACCCCAGATCTGAACTTTTCTTGATGGCTGAGGCCTTGCCAGGCCTGTGCTATCCCTAGCCTTAGGGCAGCCCCTCCTCGTGGATCACCGACACAGGGAAAATTACTGGGTATAATCTTCTGTTCAGGCTGTGGAGATAATCAGAGGACTTCAGTCCGGAAAGCTACCTTATGAAAGCAATAAATTCCCTTTGGGAAAGAAAAAAAAAAAAAAAAAGAAAGAAAACACACGTGATTCTAATGGAGGTGCCACTACCTTTTGCCAGTGCAAAGTAAAACTAAATCCATCTGAGCTTTGCTCATGGAATATTCCTTGAGGACGTTGTGTTTACCAGAAGTGTGCTGTTGGAAGGGGAGGTGTCTGTAAAAGGGCCTTGGGAGGATTTCCAGCTGTTAGCCTTCCCCAGAGAAACAGAGCGATAACGAACGTAGCCAGGCTGCCTACCTCTGGGCTAGTGTTTCTGTGGGAGTGGCAAGTGGGCTTCTTTCAGCTGAATAGGAGCTGCCCTGGCCCTCTGGGGTCAGTTAGGGGCTGAAGCCACAGGCGAAAGAGAAGGCTTTGGGCTCTGGTCCTGTCCCCTACCACTGCCATCCCCATCTGCCTGCCCCAGGTCACGCCTTCAGAGGCTGGGGAGAGTGTATGAGGGGTGAGGAGAGGCGACGTGGAAGCAAAGATGGTGAGCACGGAGATGTGGCTCCAGGCTGGCCAAGAGGAAAGAGAAGGATGGGGTCAGGGTAAGAGTGAAGACGAATTGAGGATAGAGGTGGCTGAATCCCACTTTGGGAACAACCAGAATTCTTAGAGCTGGAAGGGACCCTTAAAGGCCATCCAGTCCAGGTCCCTGCAATGAATAGGGGACATCCACAGCTAGATCAGGTTGCCCCAAGCCTGAACCTGGGATTCAGCCATCTTTGTGCCAGGCCTGAATGCCTGCCCAGAGACTGTGGGCTGGCTGCTGGGCCTGAAGCCAGCTCAAACAGGCTCGTGCTCTAAGGACTGGCCTGTGCTTCCCTCTGTGAAGAGCTGCAGGGAATGTGGGAGAATGCATGGCTAAGCCCAGCTGCTGCTTTACTCCATGCCAAGCAGGGTGGGTTGCTCAGTGCTATTGCTGGAGGACAGCGAGGGACCTGAGCAGTGACGTGGCCATGAGAAAAAGAGCCTGTTCTTCCTTCTGTGGGGGAAATTCACTTGTAGCCTATGCACTCCTGTGTTATTCTTATGAAAATAATATGTAGAAATCCAGACACAAGTGCTGTATACACTGCAGGATGCGCTGTTTTTTCAGTAGCTAACAATACATCACTGCTTCTTCTAACAGATGAATGTTCTTTCACACACAGGCCCACTCTCAGGCTTTGGAAAGCAGCCTCCTCTGTTAGTGGCAACCAGCTGCATCTGTATAACCAAGTGTCCTGTGTGCCTGTCTGCGCAGGCCACCTCAGGAGTCCACACATGGTATAACATGTGACAGATACTTCAGAGTCCATGATTCTATATGAGTTCTATGATAAGCGTGGCCAGCAGGGTGAGGGAGGTGATGCTGCCCGTCTGCTCTGCACTGGTGAGACCTCAGCTGGAGCACTGCGTCCAGATGGGGAGTCCTCAGTACAGGAGAGACATGGAGCTGTTGGAGCGTGTCCAGAGGAGGGCAACAAAAATGATCCAAGGGATGGAACACCTCCCTGTGAGGACAGGCTGAAAGAACAGACCGTTCATCCTGGGGCAGAGAATGCTCCAGAGAGACCTGAGTCTACCTTGCTCCCTTTGCCTAGCTCCCTTTTTATGGCTGGCTGGTTCTCACGGGTCACTGTTTCCGGGCCTGGGGACAACACAGTTCATAAGCAGGATCCTGTGAGGCCAAAGCTGCAATGTAACTATTCTGACAAAATACAGGGTGGTGTGAGTCTGTTGTGGCAATTTTGTATTTCACCCCTGTGGGGTTTTTTTAGCTCAATACATTTTTATTTTGTTTATACTCTGTTGAGTTCCCAGCAGTAATATGACAGGGATAGCAGTGCAGACCCCAGCCAGTTTCCCATGAGCGACTTCTTCCTCTGTTCTCAGCTCAGGTACAGAAAAAGCACAAAACCCAAGTCAAAGAGCCTGGTGTGCTCAAGGTGGGTGACTTCTAAAAATCAGACTTGATCCAAAAAACACTTTTGCAAATATCTGCTTTGTTTTAGGCTGAAGAGATCTCCGTTTCTTTCAGTTTGATCACTGACAAATCTTTTTTTTTAACATGGCTTCAAGCACATGCTGCTTCAGAGGGCAGCCAGGGAGAAGTGCCTGGGTTATTCTGTAACTGCAGCGCCCAGCAAACATGTCCCTTACCGGGGTTAGGGCTATTTGCAGCTTCTTTATGAGAGATCTACACGATCTACGTCACATCAGATAGCCCCCAAGATCCTTCTACAATGGATTACCTCTCGCAATGTTTTCCAGAGATTTCATTTATTGCAAAAAGACCAAAGGTAATGCCATTCCTGTGCTAATAACTAAAATAGTCTGGTTCTTGGAAAAGTTTCCAGGATAAGCGTTCCTATAGGCATTATTTTGGCTTGACTATAGCAGCGTAGCTTCTTCCACCACTGTGTTGTGGGGAGCAGGGCACAGTGGCGAGAAGCAGAAGGGAAAGGGGGGATCTAACCCCCCCCCTAAGGGAGGGATTCTCACTCTTCTAGGAGATTCGCACCTAGATGATCTCTCACAATGGCCCCAGACAGCATTTGGGAATCACTGTAGAGCAGAAGACATTTACTGCTCTCAGGCAACTTACTACTAAAGCCATTGATCAGGAACAGAGAGGTGTTGGGCTGGAGAATGCATGAAAACTAACCCGGGTTCCTGGGTTAGTGGCATCATGTCTTTTCTGTCGTTGCTAATGCCTGATTCAGCAAGGTACATGCTGGCGTAGACTAGACCTGAATTGAAGCAGCAGTCTAAGGCGCAAAAAGAGATCAGATCATGTTCTGAACTGACCACAGCATTGCTGGGGGTTGAGCTGCAATCACTTCTGAAGATAAGTATGAATTAAAATACAATAAATCGTTTATCTTTTTTATGTCCCAATCATTTATGATCAGAGAGTAATCAGATTCTGGGCATAATTAGGTATAGGGTGGGACCCAATCAGCATCATCTCTACAGAGCGCTCTGCTGTCGCTCATTGGTGTTCACTATCAGAGGGCACATATAAGCTTGGAGCTGGAGCACAGTGAGAGCACTTGGACAGTACGCTGCAGGTGGTGAGTATGGTTTATCTCTTACTGAGCGTGCTTCTTTTATAATGGTGAAGTGCATAGGAGCCATGTGTACTAGCCAGGTAGCTGTTACCATGAAAAGGCTTGAAAGGAGGATTCTGGTGGCCTCTGCTTCTGAGCCTGATCAAAGTTTAACTCTGACCCAGGGAGTGTCTGTGCTTTCAGCAAGCTCTGAGTAAGTCTTCAAAGCAGGGAGGCTCCGTCTTTATGCCACACGGCCAGCTCAGCTGGGTGATGGAGCAGGCTGTCCGCAAAGCCTGTCTGCATCCTTGGAGGTCTGCAAGACCCAAGAGGATCCAGCACTGAACCTGTCTGAGCAGGAGACTGAGCTGGGGACCTCCCAAGGTCCCTTCCAGCCTAAGTCCCTCTGCAATTCTTTTGAATTGATTCTTCTGCATTTGTCTTGCTCTCATTTTTATAGAAATGTTACTGAATTGCATTAATGAATAAAATAAAATTACTGAATAAAATAAAGCAAGAAATTAGCAGGTTCCTATGAGCAGA